ATAACTTTATTTCTTTAAAAAAAAAAGTTATCACAACTATATATATGTAAACATTATATGAAGTATTTCGACAAATTCGAGATCAATATCTGAATCTATACAATGTAATCTAATTTTCAAAAGTGGAATAATTTTCTGTAGCATGATGATACGTTGATTTAAATACTCCATAGTCCATAAAATACCATAATCACTCATTCACTTGCCCCTTGAGATCAAAGGAAAGGCCATTTCCAAAAAGTGGGGAGTAAGAAATAGAACTGGCCAACAAAGAATTCCAAAAGCAGGAAAAGAATCATATTGGGTTTGTTAAAGAGGCCCAATTGAAATTCAGGATACAATTTAAAGATAATGTTCATGTATATCATGATCCAACTTCAAGTATGGTTTGGATCATATCGGATAATAGTTCATATAAAATACTTCGTAAATCCGTTCATGAGAAATGATTACGTAATTTTTTTTAATTTTTTTTTGGATCACATTGTTTTTTTTCAGATTGCGGTCAGATTAGTTAGTTTTAACTCTAACAAATATACACGATATTAGTAAAAACTAAAGCTTGAATGAGATGGTTTCGGGCACCAAGTAGCTAGGATTTTCAATACTTTTTGAGATGTTTTGAAACTACCTCATCCTTAATCTTGCCAGGTCAAAAATTGTTCTCCAAAATCCAAATTTAAAGTCTATATAATACACAAATCGGACCAATTTTGAAGGTTTCGAGACCTGGTGTTGAAAACTCATGAAATCAAAGGGGACGCATCCTAAGGTCATATTTTGTTGTTTGAAAGCATATATGACCACAATAGATCATATAAGGACTCGTGATGGCCTAAGTTATTTAAGGGAGGTTTGTAGGAAAATGACTAGATTGACTATCTATAAGTAAACTGGAAAGTTCCAACTACTCAAATGACCTCTCGAGCTGTTGTGGGGTTTGCGGGATACATCTTGACCTCTTTCCTTTTCAGTTCTAAAAATGTCAAAAATCGTCTAAAATTGGAAGTTGTAATGCACGCTTTTGAATTAATTTCAGAGGTTTTAGGATCCAGTGTAAAAAAAATTCAAAATTGTAGGGGATGCATTTCGGGGTCATATAATGTTCTTTAAAACTATTATATAATCAATAGGCGGTCACATAAAATCCCGGGCGAACTTGAGTTAATTAAGCGAGGCGTGTACCTAAATGGCTAAATTGACCTTTTAAAGGCAAAGTGGATAGGTCCAACCATTCAAATGGCCTCCCGGGATGTTGTGGCATTCATGGGAAGAACCTTGACCACAATTCTTTCCGGGTCTGAAAAAGTCCAAAATTCTCCTAAACTAAAGGCTATAATTCATGCTTTTGGACCAACTTTAGAGATTTTGGGACCTGGCATCGAAAAATGTCAGGGATGCATATCGAAGTCGTATAAGTATGTTTGGAACTATATATGACCACTAATCAGTAATATAAAGTCCCGTGGTGGCCTTTATTTAATAAAAGGGGTGTAAATTGTAATCGAGTAAAATAGTATTTTAAAGGCAAAGTGGACGGTTCTAGCCACACAAATATAATCCTAAGGTGTCTTGGGGACCCACAGTTTTTCTTTCTGGGCTCAAAAAAGTCGAAAATTGTTCAAAACTAAGACTATAGTCCAGTTTTTTGGGCCAATTTTGGGATAACAAGTTTGTAGAGCATGTACCGTTTAAGAATTGAAAGTAATAATACAAATGAATTTTCCATATTCCAGTCTTAGAAGTTATGAAGACTTAATTAAAATCAGGAGAAAAATATAGTAGCGTTCAAGTTGTTTCAAATTTGAAGACTGTTTCGCTGTCCCTCCATCAATTGCGGTCATCACGCGGAAATGAACAAAACACAATAGAAGATTGGTGGAGCCTTGAGAATAAGTATACAACTTCGTATGTTTTTATTAAGTTGGGCCCATTTAATCACTGCTTCACAATAGAAGTTTTGAACAAAATATTTTGCAAATGTCAAAAATAACTTAGAAAGATCACATTGGAATCAACGAACTTGTCTTAAATTCCTTTGTTACATTATTATCAAGGGGTTATTTGCTACAATTCTTTTCCATCTAGGTGTTTATAAATACCCGACTTGTATTACCCAATCTGATGACCCGTCAATCGTTTTGAAAATTTTGAATAATTCAGTGAAAATTTTCAAACCTATCAAATACTTTGGAGGATAACTAGAAAGTAACTACTCCGATATGTTTGTATGTATTTTTTTTATTGTGCTCAAAAGATTTGACAGTTTGCCCTTTCTAAAACTGAAAGAAGATTTTCCTACCAAACTTATTTTAACTGTGAAATGAACTTAAATTGTTTTTATTAGTCCTTGAACTCATTTAGACCCACATTTTCTAAAATAAAATAATGTAGACTAAAACGTCTTAATGAGATCATAATGGTACCCCTCTAATCATGAGTAATCAACGAAGCAATGAGATGAAAGTTTCAACGATATCATAACAACACCCCTCCAATCATGAGTATGACATTAATGAAGCAATGAGATGAACGTTAAAATGAAATCATAGCAACATCCCTTCATCAATTATCATGCGTTTGACTATGATGTAAATTTAAAATTGAACCATTCTACCACTTGCTCTTACTTTATTGTGTAAATCAAATAACGTATGATTGTTTAAAAGTATCCACATACAATATGCATGTTAGAACTCAATCATGATGAATTTATGAAACAAATCACACAATATATTCATAAAGAACAAAATTAAATAATTATATATTGCAAAATTCTGATATTTATCTCCTTTAATTAAAAATAAATAAATTAAAAAAAAAAAATCTTATGTGCATTAGTATCTTACTTACAAAAATTGATGTAATACTGTAACCCATAACAATATGTCAATTGTATGGTTATTATAACTCATAATATAAGTTAAACTACAAATAATATAGAGTATACCTATCAGTATAAAAATTGAATCAAACTAGCTAATATAAACCAAACCAACTATATATTATACAATCAAGTATAGTTATATGTATGTATATATATATAATAGTGAGATCAATTGCAAGAAAATCTAATTACATGATGAATTAGTCAATATGACCTCTTCTTTGTAGATTGTTGAAGAACAAAGAGCCTTTTAAGAACCTTAACTAAAAGCAACATACTTGGTTTCTTACTTTTAGTATTCTTCAAAGTACTTGTTCTTACTAACTTGAATGGTGTAGGAACGCAACCAAATTGCACAATTTCATTACTTCCCTTGGGATAATTACCATGAAATTCAATCATCCTTGGATCGCGCTTATTTTTGAATAATTCCTCATAATTCAAATCCTCCCATAGCATGTCCATCTTCTCTTGATCTTGATCATCATTAAAATTATTGCCACCCAATTTTGATCTTTTAGTCAAGCACTTTCCTTCTAAAAATGAACAACTCTTCCTAGAATAAAAGTTGCCATTTTCTGCTATTTTCGCGTTCAACTTGAGCTCTTTTCTTGCTTCTTCATAGGAAGGTGTAGGAGAGGCTGCAGGAGAAAGCCGCCATAAAGGAGGAGAATCGATTGGACTGTTGTTCGGATTCGTGGTAGGGAAGGTGAACTCATCTATTTCCATTTGCTTTGGATGATGATCAAGTAGTTCTTGTAAATAAAAATGGTGTGTTTTTAAGGAAATGGGTTTGGTTTTGTTTTGATATTTTAGAAGCACAAGTTTTAGTAGTTCAACTGCTATGAAAACTCAAATGATTTAGCATTCTTGGTGAATGTTATAGCTGTTTGTTCTAACACATATTAGGGTTCCACAAGAAAGAGAACTCAACTCTAAAGTCCATGTTTTACCTTTTGCACAACAGCATTTACCAACTTAATTATAAAAAAAAAAAAAAATAGTTTTAATTTTCTGGGTTGGACTAAATGTCAATGCTTTCTAGTTTTATAGAGTGGAGAATTTCTTGCCATTAGGTCTACAAGTCAATACTAATGCAACTAAAATCAATAGACTTTATATCTTCTTTTATCTTTGAAGTTTGTACTAATTATCTTCTTCGCTAGTGGTAGTACAGGCGTACACTCATTGAGTAATGATTACGATGTCGGTGTTTGGTCTTTTAATTTCGTGTAACGTTTAGACCCTCTTCTTTTGAATTTAAATAGTATAATTTCATTCAAGTATGATATAAAATTCAGTGAATAATAAAAAATTAGTTTCGTTCCGTAACATTAACTTCAGTAAAAGATCAATTGAGGAAAACAAAAAAAAAAAAAAAAAAAAAAAAAAAAAAAAAAAAAAAATTTGAGGAAAACGTCTAAAACTGGTTATTTTGCTCGTCATTTTCTTTTTACTTTTTAAATGTACACTACGAGAGTAAATACATTTCTGCATCATGATATAACCTGCATGATATACAACAATGACAAAACTCATTACATGGAAGAAGTTCAGAACAGACAAGAATAGTGAAATGAGTTTGCTTTTTATAAGAAGAAATCAAATTCCATAAAATGAAGTTTGATAAAAGTTATCACTTGATGTGAATATTTGTGGTGGATTTGTTTTTAAAAGCTATCAGAAATCTAGAATTTTCTGTGCTACAGGCTACAGCCATCTGTAGAACTTGGAGGCGTCCGTCATCATATCGAAAATATGTGGAGATATTCACACCCTTTATATTTTGCACTCGAAAGCGACATAATAACCCAAAGCAAGGTTTATGTGAAATGATCGAAAGAGGAGTTACTAACCATCAATGTCATACCTGCATTTTAATGTACTAGGAAGTTCACATGATTTCTCTTTCACCATTCTGCTTTGTCCAAAGTAAGAAGCTTCAGTTTGCGCGATTTATAACAGTGACGTGCTTGAAATGCATATCCCAGGGGCAATTTGAAAGGAGACATCATTGGAATCTTGGGAGTTTTATGTAGACATTATGGGAAAATTTGAAAATCACAGTTATAAACTTAGTTTCTTGGTTAATGGGGCTGAAGTACAAGATTAAGAAACACTAAACATGGAAATTGATCAACAACAATGAATGTAATGATTCACCGACTACGTATCTTTATACACCCCTCGAAACAAACTCGAGTCTAAATTAAGTTGTATTGAACAATCTTAATTATCTACAAAGCATTCATCATCCTTTCATCAACCACTCAAAGCCCGAATGAGATTTCTTCAAATTGGTTGGAGGGCAAGAGCTCATAGACATGTGCATTGAAGCAAAGCAGTTAAGCAGCTTGATCTATTTTAATCCTGGGTTATGTGCTGCTTGGCTGAACAGTCGATATTTTTAATCCGAAAGAATGGGAGCTCAGTCACTTGAACTAAAATACGCGTGAGCCCCGACTCTAATGATAAACCATAGGGCACTTGCAGATTTTGAAGCCACATGCTTTGTTATGATGTATGAGTTAATTCTAGGTTCACCAGAGGGGCACCTTCAAGATCAAATTCCTCCATGTTCGAGTGCTTGGGAGTTCGTGGGAATGAAAATGATGGGCCTGAAGAGGGGGAGAAGATGAGAGAATACTAGATATAACAGACTAAAAAAAAAACCCCAATGAAAACAAGTGAACAAGGACGTACTGCCTGTCATGTCCTTCGTTTTATGCAGAAGAAAAGTTCCTGCCAGAATTGTTACAAATCCACACATCTCTGTGACAATTTGACTGCCATTTTGTCCAGCCCAATCCTGCATAAAAACCAAATCCAAGTTTAATCTGGCAATAAGAAAGATCCTTAAGACATTTAAAGTTCGTGTGCTTGCGAGAGAGAACAAAAAAGTGGTGAAATGGACTGAGCACTTAGCTAATATATCATAGCACCCACCTGTGATTGCCCCCCAAAGTAGAAAATCTAAACACTAAACACTATGTTTGGATAACAATTTACAAGGGAAAGGAAGGGGAAGGAGATAGGAGGAAGGGAAGGGGAAAGAAAGGGAGAGGAAAAGTGGAGCTTCATTTTCCCTCCAAATCTCTCCAATTTTGAAAAGATAGTGTATTAAAAGAAGAGGGAAAATGAATCCCTTCTTCTCCCTCCCCTTCCTTCCCTCAATCCATCATCCAAACAAGGTGATTTGTCCCTCTCCCTTTCTCTTCATTTCCTCATATCCAAACAATATAGTTTTTCAATAAATCATATAGTTTTTCAAACCCTATTTTAATACTATAGCCCATCCACTTGAAGGAAGAGTGACAACTTAGCAAGTTAGCACCGATGAACAACTTCAATGCCAAATCCCCTCTCAGAAAGACCACAGTTCATTCAGCTCCTACCTCTCCATCCACAACCACAATACAAGCATCACAAAGGGATACACACAAAAGAAAAAGACTGGGGTGGTCAATGGGAACTGTGGCAAAATTAATTGTGTAGCTATAAAAGAGTTAGTTTGTTTGGATCTTACTACCAATAAATCTTGCTAATATCCAGGGGAATACAATATACCCTAGAGAACGTGTGCACCGCTAGTTACCAAATTTTCCCAAGAACATACATACAAATTAACCCATATAACAAGCACACAGGGATTCTTGATGCAAATCACACTTAAACAACTCAAATTGATAGAACTGTCGGGAAAATGGCCCGCGCTCGAGCACAGAGATTTAGACACATTTTTTTTTTTTTAATGCGGCTACATTACGGGATCAAGTTACGTAATTCAACAACATGGAAAGGCTGCTTGTGCCATCTTTGCAAGCTGCTGCACTTCATTATAATTTTTAAGTTCTTAGCTTGCTAATTACTATTTATAAATACATCTATAGAAGGAGATCAATGCTAAATCACAACCATTTAATATGTTTCTTTCCCCTCCAAGCATAGCTTCAGAATTCAGACCAAACAAGATATGTTACCTTAAACATAATAACACTAGCCACAATGGTAAAAGTCGTGAACATCACATAGTATATAGGTGACACAACAGCCGTGTTGAAAGTATCAAGTGCCTGCACATGGAAGACAAACTCATAATCATCTTCCAGTCCAGTCACAGAATAGATGAAAAACATATATAAATGATAACAATGTCATACTCTATATACAATCACAAAGACACAAACTACAGCGTCATGAGCACCAAATCATAGATAAAAATGCGACATGGAGTGTCAATATAACATGGAGTGACACATCAATTTTACAGTGTAAATACATTTGAGGAGAAAAAGAAAAACTGACCAAGAGGGATATCTTTTATGTTCAACAACAGTACATAATCTTAACAGGGATAAAACACAATCATCTCAAAATGTCCAAAAGGCTAAGAAACAAGGACTAACATGTAAATCTTGTCTAGCTAATGATAAGACCATAGACATTAACCCATACCCAACTGAACAAGGAATTCAAAGGTTTTTCATAGATTCCCAAAGTTAATGTATTAACATGTAGGCATTAAGCTCTGATAATCATTTCCAAATAAACTTAGATAGGATAACTAATATGGCAAATAGCATGGACAGATCAAAGTACTAGTTCAACGAAATTCAAGGAGCACTGGTTCAACATTGAGGAATCAAGTCAAATGGAATGCAAATAAGGATACTTAGGGAGGGGGACCTAAGAGAGGTTATCCACCACGAGGGCCTGCAAGTGATTCAACGTAAACCATGCAACTTACCAAAAGTTGCACAAATCTTTGTTGAAGAAAATTAAAGGAGGTTAAAAGTATGCAACCATCAATATCAACTACAAATTAAAACAATGCATACCTAATTTCCTTGTCACGTTGTACTTTCTCATTTGCAATACCAAGTTATGGATATGCAGGTATTATAGTCATTTTAAAAAAAAAAAAAAAAAATGGAAGCATACATCCAAAAAAAAAAGGAAAAGTAGGAGCATGTCATGAGGAATTGAGGATGGCGGAAGAAAAAAAAAAGTGCCAGTCACATTTCAAGGTTTGCAACCCACTAATTTCTTTGCTTCATAACAAACCAGGCCACAAAAGACGTGTTAGAGTACCAATCAATCAAGGTCCAAAGATACTTCAAGAAGCTAAGATTCTTTTGCATCTATCACCAATTATACATCATTCACAAATGTAGCATAAAAAGGTTACCTTGTTTAAATAATTCATTTGCGTTATAATACAAGATACCACAACAAATGCAAATACCCATGTTTGGGGGTATGCCAATTGATTCATTCCTGAGAATGTCAACTTCAGAGCAATTCCAAGTGCTTTAACACCCATGACCTGTTGTAAAAAAAGTAAATATTTGTCACAAATCGTTGTTAAAAAATAAACTAAAAAGCTATTACAAAATAATATCACCGTATAAACGTTGCTAAAAAAAGAAATAGAAGAATGCTACCCACATACCGACAAAGACCCCACAAGTGAACAAATTCCAATGTAGACCATCACATGAGTCTGCCCATATTGTGGGACATAGTTTACCATGAGGAAAAAAACTACTAATAGCACCAGAACTGCATATGCAAGGAAACCTGCAAAAAGGGATGAGAGTAATATTTGAGTATGGCAGAATCTCTAGAGCCAGCACACAAGAACATATATATAAGTGTGTAACTAAGGTCTTCAGATATGCTTTGCTAGTTTATGTTTTATAACATTATCAGACTGATAGAAAATCTAGATGGTAACAGAATAAAACCTGGCTCTGTGGCTAGATCCCATACTTCTGCAACAGACTGAATTTGGCGCTCTTGTGGTGCATGCAAAACAATCGTTATTGAGCCCACAACACATAGTATACAGCCAAGTATCCCGAATATGTGAAGCCTCTCTCTCAAAATAATATGTGCAAGGGTAGCACTAAAGCAATCACATAAGCAAACACTTCAATAAACAAAAATCAACATATACCTGAATATTGAGCCTGAAAAACACATAAAAGCCAACTACTTACCTTATGATGATACTGACTGCACCAAGTGGAGTCACCAAAATAGCTGGTGCAAAAGCGTAGGCTGCAAAATTAGCAATTTCCCCAACAACCACTGCAGCAAAGTCATTTACATCAGATATCTTAAAAAGCAAGGCCTTGATAAACAATTACAAATGCAAGTCCTCAAATGTGCTGACCACAAGAAGTACAAGAAAGTAAATGTGTGAAATAAATAAAATGACTTGGGTGAAGAAAAATAATCATATAAGAACATCTCATCTATGTGAAAAATTGGCAAAAACAAACAACCCATCTTGGCAAAAAATGAAGATATCACCCTTCTTGATCACTAAATCTAGACATTCAATAAGTTAACAGGAAATTCTTGCAGAGAAATGTTCAAATAGGATACAGGACTAGAACCCCAAGAAAGCAAGAATGGACTATTCTGATACAAAAACAGGCTACTTAAAGTCTTCATCTTTTACTAGTGAAAAAGAAAAAAAAAAATATTAGACTTGCAAGTGGAGTACATAAAATTGCAGGATAGTTGAACATGAATATATCAATAATAAGCTAAGGCAGTAAGAACCAAAAACTTTAACATTCTAACATTTACATAAACAATATTTTTTATTTCAAATATATAATCTTTCATTGTGTGCAGAGGGGATTGGAAAAATGAAAGGTGGGAACAGGAAAAATAAGAGGGAAGGCACATCACAAGATTCATAATTGTAGATAATAGTAACATAAAAAATAAACATGATACAAAAGGGTAAAGAACTTACTAGTTAACATGCCAGTCCACCAAAGTGGCTCATATAAGTATGAGTAGCCTCCACTACCTTTAACAATAGAAAAGAAACAATATCATCAATAAATATTGCAAATATCAACTAACATGGACATAATGAAATATAGATTTAACATTGGCCAGTTATTCTGATTGTTAAGACCAGCAGTAGCATCTCACAATGGTAACACACACATACAAACGATGGTAACGTGTCTATCAGTCTATCATCAGAATAAAAGTAGAAATTTGATCAAGTTTGTCAAATGCCTACAGAATTCCCAAGAACAGCAGTGCATATCTTACCAACTCACCATTAACAAGAACCACTCCTCCGGTGCAATAAGCTATTCAGGCAAAAGGTTCATATTAGGCATAATCTTAGGTTAGAGAATTAAGTTTAGTTTTTTTAGGGAGTTCTGTCACTGTTTGGGCCCATTTAAAAGTATTCCAATGTCTTACACTCTACAATGTGTGAAGAGTTATACTTCCACATTACCAGAAAAAGGTAGCACAACAATTAGAGCTTTGCACATTAAATAAATACAAAGTAGCAAGTCCAACACCTAAAAGATAACCAAAGGGTTAAGAGAAATCACTGAGACTTTACCAGCTCCATCTTGAGCAAAAGGTTCAGATATGAGTGTAGATATAAAATTCAACGAACCAGAAAGTTCTACATTTTGGGTCTAGTTTCAAGGACCTAGTTTTTCTAGAATCATATGTAAGTATGCATCATCTTGGTCAAAAGGAAGAATTAAATTACTTTAATAACATCCATTTTTGAAATGCACATCGGTGCCCAGTCACCCCCCACCCCCACCCCCCCCCCCCCCCAAACAAAAAAAAAAAAAAAAAATTGAAATAATTATATCCTATACAAGTATAAAAGAGTCCTCATGATCGATCCTTGAGAAGTAAAAGATTAAATCCATAAAAAGTACTCCCTCCCTCCCCTAATACAAAGCCTCATTTCCTTTTTGGGTAAACCAAAATACAATGCCTCTTTCTATTTAAAGGTTGTATTTTTTGACAATATTACCCTCTTTTTGATGACTTGTCATCTTTTTTCCTTTACTTTTTTGTACTTTTAACATCAATTTCCAACACTTTCTCCCTCTATCTCTTTAGTTATTCCCAACTACTTTTTCTTTCTCTCTATCTCTCTCTAACCCCACATGCACAAATATACTTTTAATCATTAGTTTTAAAGAATTTACAACTTTCTTAATTCCTGCGCAAAAACCAAAAGAGGCTTTGTATTAGGGGACGGAGGGAGTAGCATTTAAACAATCAGAGAAGTACAAGCTTTTCAGCCATGGCCTTCATTCAGTAATTTTAGACTGGCATCATCTTCAATCAATCAAAGCCTTAATCTCATAAGTGGGGTCGGCTACATGAACCAAAAGTGATTATTCCGTGTAGTCATCGACAAAAATCTTCCTTCTCCATCCCTTACAATCCAATGCCTCATCCTCATGCAAATCCATATACTTCATATCCTTCCTAACTCCTTCCAACCAAGTCATTTTCGTTCTCCCTATGCCTCGTTAACCCCTCCATGGTCCCACTCTTCCAGATGTTAAAAATAATATATTTGTAATAGGTGCATAAAAAAAGGACAAGAACAATAGATACTGAAAATTTGTTTCAAAACGATCAAATACTACCAGTCAGAACTCTGTAGAAATCGATTTCCTTCACTTGCTACAATCGAATTCCACTAAACTTCTGACGTAATTGCAAAATGAAAAAAATTAGCCTCATTCAGTCACACAAGTGTTACCTGTTTATGGGAACCAGCACATTTAGCATGAAAAAGAGCACTGAAAGTTCCACTAATGCAGCCCTCCTAAGTAAAAAGCAACTTATCATGACTCGTGTGGGAAGTAAGTTACATAAAAAGCTTTCTAGTGCACAAAAATTGAAAGGTTAGTGGAGCTTGATTTATTTCTGATGATGTTGAAATTCTCAAGCTAGCTTGTAGCCTAATACACTTGTACCCAACCAAACAAGGTGTAATAGCTAATAGACCTAATAGTGAAGTTTGCAAATAGACGAGTTGAACTAAGCACCACAATCAATATAATGGACTTCATATGATTTCCGTTGCAAAAAGAAATCTTTATTTCAGGTAATCCCCAAAGAATATCAGAGTTTCTAAAACAGTGATAGCTCTTGTAAAGGTCACTTGACTACCATTAATAAACTTTTCACCTTAAATAAATCCCAACAAGCCATACTAATTCAGAGCTACAAACCAAATATATTTCAGAAATAAATGCACTCTTTTTACCTGATATGGCATTTTATTACATAATATAGCATTTATCACAGGAAGACTGAGTTTATCATTCTTCCAACATCATAATGCTCATTATCACTACAACAACCCGACACCGATTCCACGTCATCAAGGTCTAAGGAGGTTCAACTCACAACCTCACCCTAACCCATGAACAATCATATCCTAACTTTAGCAGTTCTAAAACCCAGAAAAGCAAAGAAATACCCAGAAACCTCAGAATCCGATAAAATCCAAAATGCCACAAATTATTCCTAAAATCATAGGCAGTAAAATCAAAACCCTAATTCAAAATAGCATACCATTGCAGAAAATGGGGGAAATATGAGCAAATTAAATGTATTAAATACAAATCAAAATTAGTATATACAATTAAAGTTGATGTGTTAATTACCAAATTGCAGAAATTAGGTTCAATACCTGCTCTAACGCCACTAGATCCGGCTTTCTTCAACCCTTTCTTCTTGACAATAAAACTAGCCCCAATAAAAAAACTGGATGATAAAGCCAAAACCAATCCTTTAATATTATCAGAAGACATCCCATTATAAGTTCCAGAAGTTTCCCCTGATTCTTGCATTGCTCTAGTTCTTCAAAACCCTGATTTCTCTCTCCAAAATACACAAACTACAATTGATACAGTATAAAAAAGTGGTTGATGAATTCAATTATTCAATCCAGCAATAAGCAATAAAAACCCCAGTTTCAGAAAAACAGTATTGTATTCGAGTTTAATCTTCTTCAACCCCCAAAATGTTCTACTCTTTTTTGAAGAAGCTAAACGGCAATGTCTGAAATCGCAGAAACTGAAAGATGGAAGGAATGGTGGAATCTCTGGGAAGGTTGAGAATTAGGGAAGTAGGGATTTTGGTTAAAGGGGAATCTAAGTGAAAGGAACCGACATTGATTGCAGAATTACAGAAGAAGAAGAAAGAGAAAGACCTACAGAAAGACACAAAGAGACGATGGGTTAAAGGATGTTTTCTCACTTTTTTCTTCTTTTCGATTTTTATTTTTTCTTTTCTTTTCTCTTTTTTCAGTCTGTCATTTGAGAAGAATGAGGATCAGGGTGTTAAGCGTAGGGGCAAATGTGTCAAAAACCGACCCAACCCGAAAAAAAAAAAATCAAATTCAAATTTGCTTGGATGCAATAATTTAGCACAACTCAAATTTAAAATAAATTCGACTAGAAATTGGGCTTACCGGAAAACTTTGTGGGTATAATCATGAAATGTGTTAGTACGACTTCTTTTGATGTGTTAGTGAATGGGCAACCTTTGAGATCTTTTAAGCCGAGTAGGAGGCTTAGGCAAGATGATAGTTTATTGTTTGTCAGAGCTAATGAAGAGAGGGTGGAAAATGTGCTCGGAATTCTTTCTACCTACGAAATTGCTTCGAGTCAGAAACTGAATATTAACAAGTCAGAGGTATCCTTTAGCCGAAACATTGAGCAATAATGGAAAAATATTCTTCAGATGAAGTTATCTTTTAAGGTCGTCAAGGGTCATGACAAATTCTTGGGGCTCCCAACTTACATTGGTAATTTTAGGAAACAAGTGTTCCAAAATATTCAGGATCGAATTTGGAAAAAAAATTGAAAGGGTGGAAAGAAAAGTACTTGTCTCAAGTAGGCCGGGAATTATTGTTCAAGTCAATAGCTCAAGCAATTCCTACTTATGCGATGCAATGCTTCTCCATTCCGAGTGGTATTTTGAATGAGGTTGAAAAATTATGCCGCAATTTCTTTTGGGGCCAGAAAAAGGAGGAGAGAAAAATGACTTGGGTGGCATGGGAATATGGGATAAGCTGTACATTCCTAAAAAGCAAGGAGGTCTTGGTTTCCGTAACATGAAAGTTTTTAACCAAGCTCTCCTTGCTAAGCAAGCGTGGCGTATTCTTACAAAGGAGGATTCCTTAATGGCGAAGGTCCTTAAAGGCAAATATTTCCCTAAAACTTCCTTTATGGATGCCAAAATTACATCTAACTCGAGCTATACATGGAGGTCGATCCTAGGTGCGTGTGATGTTCTCTCAAAAGGCATTAGAAAAGGTTGTGGGATATGGTGCTGCTGTTGATATATGGAAGGATTTATGGGTGCCTGGTCTTCTTAGTTTTCGTGTGCTGACCAACCGTGAAGCAAATGAGAGTCCAACCCTTGCGTGTGATTTGTGGGATGACAGAAAATGGAATTTGCAATTGCTCAACTCCATCTTTGAGCTGGTGGAAGTGCAGGAAATTAGCAACATTCCCATTCCTCTTTTTGATAGCCCGGATACATGGGCTTGGCATTGGTCTAAAGATGGTAGATATTTTGTCAAGAGTGCTTATAATATGCTTAGTATGGAGAAGGTGCGTGATACAACCACTACTTTCTCCGCTGTTATTGATTTTGAATGGAATAGCATTTGGAATGCAGAGATTCCCCCAAAAATTAAAAATTTCTGTTGGTGTGCTGTGAGGGAAACTGTTGCTGCTCGTGGTACGCTGATCAGCAGGGGCATGGATGTGGATCCTGTTTGCCCGATGTGTGGGGGAAGTGCAGGAGCCTATCTTGCATAAGCTTGTGCACTGTAAAGAGGCAAAGCTCTTATGGTATTTTTCTCCCCTACGGCTGGTGGTGGAGAAGTTCAATGGTGCTTATTTTGCGGAGTGGAGTAGTGGGCTGCGTGCTATCTTTAAAGACCCTTCTTGGTGGAACATTTTCTGGTGCATCATTTGGAGAATTTGGTTACGCAGAAACGCATGGGTTTTTGAAGGAAAGAAGAAGGACATGGAAGATGTCATACATAAAGCTGTGAGTATTGCGGGTAAGTTCGAGAATGCCAATGTGAATGAGGGTAGTCACACCACCTCTAAGATTCTGGAGTGTTACTGGAAAGTGCCTTCATTTGGAACAATTAAAGTGAACTTAGACGCAGCCATCTTCAATCATAACCAGGTGGGTTTGGGGGGTGTGATGCGTGATGAGGTTGGAGATGTAGTGTTGTGTACGTGTATGCAAATTGCTGGCAGGTTTGATGTGGAGGTTGCAGAGGCAATGGCTATGAGACATGGAATCAGGCTTCTTGAGAGTGTGTTTGGAAACTTATAATCTCAAGCTGCATCATTGCCTAAGGAAGGGTACAACAGATCTGATCGAGTTTGGCTATATTATCAAAGACATTCTTTTGCTTGCTAGCTCCTGCACTGCTGTCTCTTTTGCATTTGCGAAAAGGAATGGAAATCGAGTAGCTCATATCTTAGCAAACTTAGTAGTAATTATGTTGGTCTTAGAGTTTGGTTAGAAGAATATCCTATTGAGATACATGAACTTGTAATGGCTGATTTAAGCCTGTCTTCTGCTTAATAATATTGCTCGGTTTTCCGTCAAAAAAAAAAGAAAAAAAAATTCGACCTTACTTTATTAAACCAAAATAAGAACGACTGGATTAACACCTCTAGACGTATGGCCAAAGGGGCCGAAAAAGGAAAGACAATAGAACAGAAAAGTTTGGGAATGAATTTTTTATTCTTCAACATGCCCCACTTGAATAATAAACTCTGTTAAAATCCTAAGCATTTACTTGTATAATTTTGTTTTTTTTTTAACTGACCTTAGTATATCTCTTAGACTTTTAGAGTCATGTTCATGCAGTCAATTGATTTTGTTCTTGTTATAATACTCGTAACCATTATATCTCAAACTCATTTCAACGAGTATAATCTCATTTTATAATATAATGAGTTGGGAAACATTGTTGGGGCCAAAAACTAGTGTTGCATACAATAGTTTAGGGGTGTTCCCGGTCAAAATTTTAGGAATCGGACCCGGAATTGGTTGGGACCGGGTGCTAAAATTCGGAATCGGAATTGGAATTGGTTCAACCGAGTCCTAAAATTTAGGACTTGGAATTGGAACCACCGGGTACTGGTTCCGATTCCGGGTACCCACTTATATATTTAATTGTTAAAATATAATACAAATTATAATACTTATTTCGGTTATTTTGATTTTAGCGCTTAATACTTATATTTATACATGCATTAAGCTATTTGTATCTATGTTTGGTATTAATAATAATTTTTTTTTATTATACTAACTAGATACATTCAATGTATTTTTATTATTTAAAAATTATTTAGTTTAACATATATTAGGTAGTCGGATACTCAACCAATTCCGGTTCCAAAAAGTTGAAAAATGGAATTGGAACCGGTTATAAACGGGTCCTTAATTTATTTACCTGGAATTGGAACCACCGGGTCCAATTCCGATTCCGGACCCGCTAATTTCTAACCGGTTCCGGTTTCAATTTCGGGTCAGTTCTGATTCCGAGTACCTGGAATTTTTGCTCACCCCTACAATAGTTCATGTTGCAAAATATAGAGTATTATCTTTGTGTTTTATTTGTGCCATGTTAACTTGAAACTTGTTTTAATGTGGATTTTGACTTGCAATAACTTCAATTATGTACTTTGTATGATTAACAAGATCTCAAATATCTATATTTTGACATTAGTATAATCAAATAAAAAAAAATTATAGCTGAATGTCAATAGTGTCTACTAAATAAAGAAGGTTAAATGGATAATACAATATAAACACTAGAGGATATAATGGGAATACAATACTTGTGAGGCCAAGTACGAGATTTTCCGAAGTCTGTTTCCCATTTATTTCAAGTCAATTCATCCTTTGAAACACGTTAATACTGTTACTTCGTTCTGCCTTTGCTTCTCTTCATTCATCTCCCTTTTCTGAGTCTATACATAACGCCATTGTCACAATTGATGAAACAAACACATACTCGAAAATGGGCATCTTGTCAATTTTTGTTTTGTTTCTTTTGTGGAGTATGTTTGTGTTTTGTCATCAGTCTTCAACTCAGAAATCAATCATGCTCAACCTCTTTCAGCTTCTCCAAAATCCAGAAAATTATGCATGTACATGGGAAGTTGTGATATGCACCAACAACTCTGTTACCCAACTCCATCTCACCCACTCCAACTACTACATCAGCAATTCAAGTGTTATATCAATTGCATGCCAAACACAATCATTGCAAGTTCTTGATGTTTCCAACAACTATCTAGCTGATTTTATCACAAGATGTGGTAAACTTCCAAGACTGAAATCATTAGATTTTAGTTTGAATTCTATTTCTGGAAATTGTTAGGTTTTCAAGTAATTCAACAACAAGAACTACTTTAACAATTGTGGGAACAAAACCTAACTATGTATAATTAATAATAAATTATACAATAATCCAAATACAATTCAATGTATTACAACCAAACACCAATTTATCAAAGTATTACAGAAAAACACAATGAAAACACTAGTTGTGAAAGATAATATACTTGCCTCTACTCCAAGCCTTAACAAACAACATGAACATGAGAAAACCGGTGACCACTTGAGTCTAATTCCTTGATACACTGTCTTAGGCGTGTAAACACTTTCCTAAAGAGTTTAATTTCCCCCACAACGGTGCTTGGGTTTAATCCGGAAATACTCTTTGAGATACAAAAGACAGCCCAACGTTCTTTGCACTAAGAATCGATGAAAGATGATCAAAACTCTAAGAAGAATTAATTGAAAGAGATTTCTCACAAAAGTTTGCAAGAAGTTTGTGAGGAATTGTAGAGAATACTTTGGGAGGAGAAGAAGAAAAATTGTTTTCTGTATATCTTCGAATCTGAAACAAGCCTTTTATTAAAGACTTAACCGTCATAATTTCGCGAAAAAACAGACTGGCGCGGGCGCTCCACCAGGAGGCGCGGGCGCTCCTCATCTGATTTGTGAAATTGACAAAGGAAGGCAGAGTGGTACGCGGTTTAGGTGCGACCACAAGAGCGGGCGCGCCATCCAAGACGCGTGGGCGCGCCACCAGACGCGCGGCCACACCAACTACACCCTTCCAAATATCCAAATTCCAGTGAAGTCCGCGGTTTAGGCGCGACCTCAGCGCGGCCGCGCGTTTCTAGCGCGTGCGCAACTCATGGTTCGCGAACGCGCAACCATTAACACTCTAAATATTCCAACAGAAAATTACCTTGTTTCAATAAAGGTGGTTTTACCAACTTAGTGTCCCTCGACTTGTCTTATAATTTACTGAATGTAAGCATTGGAGCTTGGTTTGATGGGTTGGTGGCTCTCAAAAGCTTGAATCTTAGCTCGAACAACTTGACCGGGCCAATTCCTAGCAAAGACAATAACTTTTATATAGGATTGTACGTGAGTATGGGGCTTGGGTTTTACCTTGGCTTCTGGGGAGTGTGTGGCACTCTTGCTTTAAGAGACTCTTTGAGATACGCTGATAAGCCGTGTTTTGTGCATGTTTGTTGTCTTCTTTTTTAGTTGTTTTTATTAGTCTTGCTTAGTATTTTAGTCCATTTTGGTTTGATTTGGTTTAGTTTCGATGATTTGATGCTTTTATGGGTAGTTTCGTTGTTTTTGATGTATTTCAGGATTAACGAAGCAATTATGGAGATTTTTATGAAGTCATGAGACTAAATCGAGGCCCATGGAATTTCACGAAGCTCGTTGGTCGAAGAACGAGTCATTTAGGCCTTTTTGGAGTCAAGCACGGCCATGTTTAAGAGAGGCACGCCCATGTATTATTGAAGAAAGAAAGAAGAAGTAATCTGGAAGCTAGGCACGTCCGTGCCTGGGCCTCAGAAACTGAAGAAAACTCTCTGAAAGTGAGGCACGTCCGTGCCCCTGCTAACTTCGAATTTGCATATGAGGCACGTCCGTGCCTTATCTAGGCACGTCCGTGCCTGGAGTCCAGAAGATGAGAAGAACCTTACACGAAGTGAGGCACGTCCGTGCCTCTTGTAGGCACGTCCGTGCCTCTTAGGAAGATTACGCGCTAAACTTTCTTACGTTTTCTTATCTTTTTGGGAGTATAAATACCCCAAACTTTATTATATTTGACAATCGAGTTTTTATTATTAGACCTAGTTTTCTATATTATTTTTACATTGCTTTGTAATTCAAGATTCAAGATTCTACTTTTGCATTCTCCATTTATTTCAAGATTTGGTATTTTCTTTTCATCTTTTGTTTCTTAATTATGTTTTCCTTGATTATTATTGTTATTGTTTCTTTCAATATGTGTGAGTAGTTTGCTTATTCCAAGATCTAGGGTAGCCCAATTATGATTGATGCATGAATTAATTCTTTAAATTCTCTAATAACTATTGCAATTGTTTATGCTAAATTAATTGTGATTATGCCAATACTAGATTAGAGATAATTAGTATTGTTATTATTCCATAGTTTTAATCACAACGAGAGTTGGGTTCTAACGGAATTGAGTAAATTAATTTAGGGTTTGAAATTCATCACGAGAGTAGTTGAATTGATAATTGGGAAGTGAAGTAAAGTGTTTAATGTCTCTAATTTGCATGATACCATGAGAATAGGCTTGATTGTGGGTTAGGGAAGCCATTGATACTCGAAAGAGGTCCTTGGTATTGGTTAGGGTTTGCTTTTCCCCGTGTTAATTGGAATTGTATGTTAGGGGTAGATATATAATTGCATCGATCGTAATTGTGGTGATACTTGATCTTGGATGTTTTAGCTTATTGATTTATTATATTCTTTGATTTATTCTAAGTTTTCCATACATTAGCTTTTAGTTTATTCCACCATTGTTTGATTCTTGCTTGATAATTACTTGAGTCTAGATAATTTAGGTGAACCTTAGTCTCTTGGGATTCGATCCTTACTTGCCCGTCTACATAATAGTGGTCTAGTTAGGTTATTTTTGTTAGGTACGCGACATGCCTATCATACGCCTTCTTCAACTTTGTTGACAGTGTATATAACAGAATATATGTAACTATAGCTATTTATGTCTCCAGATTTCAGAGGAAGTCTCTAACATAAATATGTAGTCTGTACTTTATCAGTTCATCTCTGATGCAGTTAGTTGCTGAATAAATCGGTGATTCAGTGTATCACCACCTCTTACTTTAGATAGTTTTCTTGAGAGTCTTGGATTAATTTACGAGTGCATTATATATACGAGTATACTAATTTATTTATTTTTTCCAAATCATCCATCGTATGTCTCCATCAAGACAGCTTTAGCCTTAATGTCGCACAAAAATTCTGAATCAATTTTCAACAAATTATATCTTCTACAGTTACATGTTCATTGAATTTAGTGTCGTATCGAATGCCAAAGTAATGCATACAAATGGAAGAAAAATGTGTATTCCAAATATATCCTCCCCTATGCCGACTCAGTGGTAGAAGAAATAACTTCCTTCCCCCCTCCAATATTGTATGTTAAAGTAACTAATTCTGTTAAGAGTATAAAACCTTTTCACCAAAAGTTTTAGCTAATAGTTGAGATTCAGGAATAGATTTTATACTCTTATTAATTTAATATTACTCTTATCAATTTAATTACGAAGTAGAAAATACTAGTAAGAAGTAATCTGTATTTTAGACTATTTCTTAAACAAGCTATTTGTATGTTAAAAAATACTTGTAAAATCAATGTGGAAAATGGTTTATGTAAGACCATCTCCAATGATGAGATCTTGAGGGAGTTTTTTTTTTAAGAGAGAGACATTATTTTTTGCAAGGGATACCAATAAGTTTGTAATTTATTTAAGTTTTTTTTTTTTTTGAAAAACTTACAATATGAATTGAAAGTTATATTAGTATACTTTAGAAAGTCTCACCATTGGGAAATTACACTTCACACGAGTTGTTAAATTGAGAAGTGGATTGGATATCACCATTGGAGATAAAAAAACAATTCATTTTATATTTTAATACTCAAAGTTAAGTCTCATTAATGGAGATAGTCATAAATAGTCTAAATGTAGCACAATTCAGTCGATGCAACTTTAAATAGGGAAAATCCAAGTCTTTGCCTGATTTTTATAAGTCAATTCAACTTTTCAAACACGCCAAACTCTTGTCTTCTCCTTCCCTCTTCTCCCTTCTTTCACTCTTACCTCTGTTTTGCTCCTCTTTTCTAATTCTTCTTTCTTCATTCTTAATTCCTCACTTGAAACACTAACAATTTTATTCAACATGAAAATTGACAGCTTCAATTTCTTCTTGTTCTTGTTCTTCATTCTTTTCTTGAATTCGGTTTCTTCAAAGCTATCTCCAACGCAGAAATCGTCCATGATCAAACTCTCCGAACAACTTCACAGCCAAGTGTCCTCTTTCTCATGGGATACTAGCAAAGACCCGTGTACATGGACCGGTGTGGCATGCAATAATTTTAGCAGCTCTGTCATCAAAATCTCTCTTTCTAGCTTGAAACTCACCAATTCCAGTTTCTTACCTATTGCATGCCAAATTCCATCTTTGGAGGTTCTTGATGTTTCAAAAAACCTCCTAAACTCAATCCCAGGTGAGTTTTTATCGAGCTGTGGTGTTATCTCTACGCTCAAGACGGTTAATTTTAGCTGGAACAGAGTTTCTGGTTCTCTACCCTCTTTTGAGAATGGCTATACCAGTTTGGAAGCCCTTGATTTATCTCAGAATTTAATGAGTGGATCCATTGAGACGCAATTAAATGCATTGGTGAATCTCAAAAGCTTAAATCTTAGCTCTAATAGTTTCACTGGTTCCATTCCAATCAACATTGGAGAAGTCAAGGGGTTAGAGCAACTTCAATTATCAGCCAACAATTTTCAAGGCACTATACCAGAACAGCTTGCTGATTACAGAAATCTAACCGTTCTTGATCTTAGTTTGAACCAGCTCAACGGGAGAATTCCTTCGAAAATTCAGAAGCTCTCTAAGTTGGAAGTGCTAGTGTTGTCAGGTAACAGACTAAGCGGGGAGGTCCCTGGTTTTTTTTCCAATAACACGAGACTACAGAGATTTGCAGCCAACCAGAACGAGTTTTATGGTAGTGTACCATCTGGGATAACAAGGTATCTGAAGACTTTGGACTTAAGTTACAATAACTTAAGTGGGTCAATACCAAATGATCTATTGTCACAACCAAACTTGCAGAAAGTTGATCTCTCTTACAATAGGCTGATTGGAACGATACCTGGGAATGTTTCTTCAAGTTTGGTTAGGCTGAGATTGGGAGGTAATTTACTGCAGGGATCAATTTCGCCAATCAATTTCAGAAATCTTCAGAGCTTGGAATATTTGGAGCTGGAAAATAACAACTTGATTGGAAAATTACCTGTTGATCTTTGCTCATGTCAGAAGTTAAGCTTGTTGAACTTGGCTGAAAACAAACTATCCGGGGAATTACCAACAGAATTGGGCAATCTGAAGCAGCTTCAAGTTTTGAGTCTTCAGCTCAACAATTTTGTTGGCAATATTCCTAGTGAAATCACCCAGCTATCCAAGTTGACAAGCCTAAATATCAGCTGGAATTTGCTAAGCGGTCCAATTCCTCCTTCCATCTTATTCTTGGAAAGACTTGAATACCTGCATTTGCAGGAGAACAAGCTGAGTGGTTCAATACCCAGAACCATTGGCAACTTGAGTTCCCTGTTTGAACTCCAGCTAGGGAAAAACCATCTCAGTGGGGAGATTCCTCTGATTCCTCAGTATTATCTGAACCTGAGCCACAATTTTTTTGAAGGGGCCATATGCTCATTTGATGAGATGGCTTCCCTGGAGATTTTGGATCTCTCCAACAACAGATTTTCTGGTGAGTTTCCAGACTTTCTAACTGATATGCAGAGCTTAACATGGTTTTTACTTGACAATAACAATCTCTTTTATTCCAAGTTTTATTTTTTAGCAATGTCTTCTTGCATATTCAATCCCAGAACCAGAAGAGATACTAAATGGTTTGGTGAATCTCAAACCCTTGGATCTTAGTTCAAATAACTTAACTGGGTCGTCTATTTCAGGCAATATTCCAGATACTCTTGAAGACATGTCACAGCTATCATATTTGAACTCTCAACTCGGTTGTCTGAGGTCTCTTGATTTGTCCAACAATAATCTGTCTGGACCAATTCCAACCATTTTGCAAATATTTGGATATCAAACTTTTGGCGGGAATGAATACCTCTGTGGGTATCCAGTATCAAATAGCTGCGACACTGAGGAAGGAGGAGAAGATGGCTTATCCTTCTATATAGGGCTGTATGTGAGTATAGGGATTGGATTCTACCTCGGTTTTTGGGGAGTTTGTGGCACTCTCGCATTTAAACATACTTGGAGATATGCCTTCTTCAACTTCATTGACACCATATATAACAGAATCTATGTAACTGTAGCTATTTATATCGCCAGATTTCAGAGGAAGTCTCTGACATAAATAAATAAATATTCCATTTTCTGTACTTCATCAGCTCTTCATCTTAGATGCAAGATGCGAAAATGCAAATAGCTGTTGAATAATATTATGTTTCAGTGTTTATCAGTGTACCACACCACCTACTTCTCTCTAGATTAGATTTTCTTGGAAGTCTTGTACTTAAACATAAATAATATTACGCCACTGTTATTAGTTATTCCTAGTTTCCTACCTACATAGTACGTACACACACACTTTTAAGTACGAAAACAAACATGAAAATATACATCACCTTAAATTTGTTGATTTTCATCTTGTATCTTTTCTTATATCCATTATTAGTGTTTTCTGATCTATTCCCAACACAGAAATCCACCATGATTTCTCTATTCAAACTTTTCTCGGATGACAAACCCTATATCAATTGGGAGGCTAGCACAGAGCCACAGACCCATGTAGTTCATGGAAAGGTGTGACATGCACCAACAACTCTGTTACTCAACTCGATTTCTCTGAAATTTTTATCACCCATTCAAGTGTTATTATAGCATATCCGTAAAACTATTTTTTTTTTTTTAATCAAAGTATATTATAAAATACATGCATGTGATGTTACTATCGAATAATTATAAAATACTCGTACTAATCAATGTGGAAAATGGTTTAGGAAAACTAATCTAAGATTTTGATGGGAGAAGATTCATTGACCAGCACCTATTAATTTTCAGTTGCTAACCTCGATTTATTGACTTGGAAACCTTGGCACTTATCTACAATGCAATTAGTTCTTGCTAATATTATTCAACACGCGTAAGTGACCATAGGGCTTGGATTCTACTTTGGATTTTGGGGAGTGTGTGGTACTCTTGCACTAAAACATACTTGGAGATATGCCTTCTTCAGCTTCGTTGACAGCTTATATAACAAAATATATGTAACTATAGCTATTTATGTTGCCAAAATTCAGAGGAAGTCTCTGACATAAATACAGTCTGTAGTTTATCATCTCAATATCATTGATGCAGTTGTTGAATGCTAATCTATGTTTCAGTGATTCACATAGAACCTGTTTGGGTCCAATTTACTTTAATTGGGCCGGTCCATAAATGATTCAATTAAAATGCCCAAGGTTAAGGTTCAACTCTCCAAACCATGTCAAGTCAGTTAAGGCCCGATCAATGTGGCAAGCCCACTTGATTCACGGCCCAATTATCTATTGAGAAAAGGATAAATCCTCTCTCTCTACATTCATTCACATTAAGTCTCAAGCAATTAGCTTTCTCTCTCTAAACACTGTACTGACTTCGGCACCGGAGAGACCTTCCTCGGCAACACCCCCGAAACTAGTTTACGTGTGTCTGCTGTGCAAGAAACCCTCGGCCCAGTCATCACTTGGACTGAGATCAGTTTTCAACCCATAGAAAAGGACCTTGCCGAAGGTCCCATTGTTTTTACCCGAAACTGAATCTATGTAACTATAGCTATTAATATCTCCAAATTTCAGAGGAATTCTCAAACTTTTTAAAACTGTACGTAGTTTATCATATTCTATGAATAATACTTGTTTTAGTGGTTTTTCATATTCTATGAATAATACTTGTTAATTTGTTATTTGTTGAATCATTGTACTCCGTATTTTAACGTAGATTAACGAGTGCATTATTTTATTCAATAATCTTTATTTCTTCAACCGCATGTCTCCATCAGATAGCTTTAGTCTTCAGTCTCACAAAAATTCTGAATCAAATTTCAACACACACTGTATTTTCTCAAGTAACATTGTCATCAGTTTATTAGAGATCGAAGTTTCCTGTAAGCTGTAAGCATAGACATTCAACCGTACAAATTATGTGGAAGCAAGTAATGTATACAAATGGAAAAAAAAAAAAAAAAGTGTTCCAAATATAGGATAAAGAACTTCCCCTCCTTCTCCAATTTTGTTTGGTAAAAGAAACTAAAATCCAGTAAGGAGATCAATAAAATTCATCAAAAACAGGAATACGTATTTATAAAACTATTCCGTAATTTTTTATTTGATTATAGAATAGGAAGTAAATCAGACTAATTTTTATACTCCGTATAATTATACAACGTATATATATGCGTACATGCATGTGATGTTACTATCATATGGGGGCATGCAGTTACAAAATAATAATCAACGTGGAAAATGGTTTGGGAAAAGATAGTCTAAATGTAATGTAGCACAATTCAGTCAATGCAACTTTAATTAGGGAAAATCCAAGTCTTTGCCTGATTTTTCCAAGTCAATTCAACTTTTCAAACACGCCAATACTCTTGTCTTCTGCTTCCCTCTTCTCCCTTCTCTCACTCTTACCTCTGTTTTGCTACTCTGTTCTAATTCTTCGTTCTACATTCTTAATTCCTCACTTCAAACACTCCACTTTTATCCAACATGAAAATTGACGGCCTGAATTTCTTGTTCTTGTCCTTCATTCTTTTCTTGAATTCGGTTTCTTCGCAGCTATCTCCAACGCAGAAATCGTCCATGATCAACCTCTCCGAGCACCTTCACAGCCAAGTATCCTCTTTCTCATGGGATACTAACAAAGACCCGTGTACATGGACCGGTGTGGCATGCAATAATCTCAACAACTCTGTAATCAAAATCTCTCTTTCCAGCTTGAAACTCACCAGTTCCAATTTCTTACCTATTGCATGCCAAATTCCATCTTTGGAGGTTCTTGATGTTTCAAAAAACCTCCTAAACTCAATCCCAGTTGAGTTTTTATCGAGCTGTGGCGATATTTCTACGCTCAGATCAGTTAATTTTAGCTGGAACAGAGTTTCTGGTCCTCTGCCTTCTTTTGAGAATGGCTTTACCAATTTAGAAGCCCTGGATTTATCTCAGAATTTGCTGAGTGGATCCATTGGGACGCAATTAAACGCGTTGGTGAGTCTCAAAAGCTTAAATCTTAGCTCAAATAGTTTCAATGGGTCCATTCCAACCAACTTCGGAGAAGTCAAGGGGTTAGAGCAACTTCAATTATCAGCCAACATTTTTCAAGGCACTATACCAGAACAGCTTGCTGATTACAGAAATCTAACCTTTCTTGATCTTAGTTCGAATCTGCTCAATGGGGAAATTCCTTCCAGAATTCAGGAGCTCCCTAAATTGGAAGTGCTAGTGTTGTCAGGCAACAAGCTAAGTGGGGAGGTCCCTGATCTTTTTTCCAATAACACGAGACTACAGAGATTTGCAGCCAACCAGAACGAGTTTTATGGTAGTGTACCATCTGGGATAACAAGGTATCTGAAGACTTTGGACTTAAGTTACAATAACTTAAGTGGGTCAATACCAAATGATCTATTGTCACAACCAAACTTGCAGAAAGTTGATCTCTCTTACAATAGGCTGATTGGAACGATATCTGGGAATGTTTCTTCAAGTTTGGTTAGGCTGAGATTGGGAGGTAATTTACTGCAGGGATCAATTTCGCCAATCAATTTCAGAAATCTTCAGAGCTTGGAATATTTGGAGCTGGAAAATAACAACTTGATTGGAAAATTACCTGTTGATCTTTGCTCATGTCAGAAGTTAAGCTTGTTGAACTTGGCTGAAAACAAACTATCCGGGGAATTACCAACAGAATTGGGCAATCTGAAGCAGCTTCAAGTTTTGAGTCTTCAGCTCAACAATTTTGTTGGCAATATTCCTAGTGAAATCACCCAGCTATCCAAGTTGACAAGCCTAAATATCAGCTGGAATTTGCTAAGCGGTCCAATTCCTCCTTCCATCTTATTCTTGGAAAGACTTGAATACCTGCATTTGCAGGAGAACAAGCTGAGTGGTTCAATACCCAGAACCATTGGCAACTTGAACTCCAAAAACCTGATTGAACTCCAGCTAGGGCAAAACCATCTCAGTGGGAAGATTCCTCTGATGCCCCCACTTTTGCAGTATTCTCTGAACCTCAGCCACAATTTTTTTGAAGGGCAAATCCCCAAATCACTTGATCAGATAACTTCCCTGGAGATTTTGGATCTCTCCAACAACAGATTTTCTGGTGAGATTCCAGACTTTCTAACTACTATGCGGAGCTTAACATGGTTGTTACTTGACAATAACAATCTCTCTGGAGTTATTCCAACATTTCCTAGCACTGTCATTGTAGATACCAAAGGAAATCTAGGTCTTAATTATCCACCGCCAGATAGTCCAAACACCAACCACGGGAAAATGTCAATTGCTGTCAAAATTGCAGTGGTAGTTAGTGCAGCTCTCTTTGGTGGTTTGATCGCGATTCTTGGGGTTTTTCTCTCAATGCGACTACTTTACAAGGTTCATGATATAGATGTTCAGTCAAGACAGCCGGATCTTCCCGTCCCTCTGGCTGTAGAAAGTCACATCTTGACAACCAATAGCACCCATAAATCAAACATTGATTTTACTAAAGCCATGGAAGCAGTATCCAACCCATTAAACCTTGTCTTGAAGACCAAATTTTCGACCTACTACAAAGCAGTCATACCCTCAGGAGTAAGCTATTTTGTCAAGAAACTCAACTGCACCGACAGGATTTTCCAACCAAGCAACCATGGAAGCTTTGGGCAGGAGCTAGAGGCTCTAGGGAAGATGAACAGTTCAAACATCATGACTCCTCTAGCTTATACACTGGCTGCAGATAGTGCTTTTCTCATCTATGAAATGTCATTCAAAGGGACTTTGTTTGATTCCCTACATAGAAGTTCAGGAACTCTTTTAGATTGGGTGAGTAGGTGTAGTATAGCAGTCGGGGTGGCTCAAGGCCTGGCCTCTCTCCATGGATGTTCGACCGGTCCAGTTCTGCTTTTTGACCTCTCAAGCAAAACTGTCTTGCTCAAGTCATCGAAGGAGCCGCAGATTGGAGATATCGAGCTTTGTAAGGTGATTGACCCCTCGAAGAGCGCTAGCAGCCTATCAGCTGTGGCAGGTTCTGTTGGCTATATTCCACCAGGTAAAAGATCTATAATTCAGTCTTTCCATCTTAAATTACCTAGTTTATGCATTTTGTTTTGCTTTAATATGTTTTTAGTTGGATTTTACTTTCACTTTTGGTTGGTTTCCTAAAATTCTAACTGTAATTTTCTCGGGTTTACAGAATATGCTTACACAATGCGGGTGACACTGGCGGGAAATGTTTACAGCTTTGGGGTTATTCTGCTAGAGCTGCTAACAGGAAAGCAGGCAGTTAGTGAGGGGACAGAATTGGCTAAGTGGGTTCTTAGAAATTCTACACAGCCTCAAAAATGGGATCGGATTCTTGACTTCAGAGTCAGTCGGACATCAACATCAGTCAGAAGCCAGATGCTAGCAGTACTCAAAATTGCTCTGGCTTGCATTAACGCCTCATCAGAGGCAAGGCCAAAGATGAAGAGTGTGCTAAGGATGCTGTTGAATGCAAGATGACCACAGCCTAGAAGAAGTCGAGTAATAACTATAGATTGTTGATTTTGAATTAGCCAAGAAATTAAGACAGCCTTGGTAATGGTCTTGTAAATATACATAGCTATCTGTACGCTTTTCAATCACTTCTAGCACCAAATTCTTTTTAATGTGTTTTTTAGAATGAAAATTGATAAACACAAGTCCCTGTCACAGCAATAAGTACAACTTTATATATGCAATGAGTTCTCTTTAACAAATGATCATACATTGTTTGCAGAACATTCTTCATTTTAACTGTAAATCATAAGACAAACTCAGCAAAACTGTATCACATACTTCAAAATTCACAGGCGCAAAAAGTGGAACAGGGTATTTAACGAGTCTCGTTAATATATAGAAGCACATTTTGCAATCTGTAACAACATTACTTCTCATTGTCAAAAAAAAAAAAAAAAAAAAAAAAAAAAAAAAAAAAAAAAAAAACATTACTTGCTGACAAAAAGGGAATTTCAATGGGAAATAGTAGGAACTTTTGAAACAGGGCAGCCATTATATTAGACATTATTTGTCAATAGTTCATATGGTTAAATGTCTCAAATACTGCTAAAACTATCAAAAGACAATGATACATGGAACAGATTTGACAATGATGGTGGACAAACAACAATCCAGACATTTCCGGATTCATAGTAGACCAGCAGTGGAGAAAAACACAAGACGAGCAATTCTTTCAAAAAATAGTCCATCAGTAATCCAGTCATGAGCTTATAATGTATACTAAAATCTCCACACGGTTACCAGCACTTGTAATTTGGGAAGCATCATTTGAGGAATGAATATCTCAACACTTTGGAAGTCATGTATCAAATTCAGAAGGGAGTAAACTATAGTGTCAGATCCTTAGGATCCTCAATAATTTGAGCAAGAGTTTGCAAGAAAGCAGCAAGATCAGCACCATATATAACACGATGATCAGCGGTAACATTCACCTGCATCTGGTTCTTCATGCCTATCCGACCATCTTTACTGCCAACGACATTAGGTTGAGATGCACCGACAGCCATTATTGCTCCCTGGAGTATTAAGTTCACAAATGAAAATTCAATCAGTTCTGCTTCCAATGTTAAAACCTATTAGACATTAAAAAAAAAAAAAAAAAAAAAAAAAGGGCATCCAATTAAAAGAACTTACAGTTCCAGGTGGAAGAATAGCATCAAAGCGGTCCACGCCGAACATTCCAAGATTAGATAGGGTGAAGGTACCTGAGTAAGTCACCAGTATCACAATGAGAAACATTTCAAGGTTATAAGAATAACAAAGTGCTCAGAATCTCAGATGCTTGTATGTGCAAGATATTGCACATTCAAGACAGATACTGCAGAGCAAAAAAAACTTTCATAAGGTCCTGAAATAGCAAAGAGCATAGTCTCCACTCTGCTGTAAACTACAATGTTTTCCAAGTAAGTGTCTGGATCATCAAATGCCATCAGCATTTCATTGACCAAAAATTCCACCAGAAATTCGAAAAGAAGTTCAAAACATGTGTACAAAAATAATCTATCTAAATTTACACACATCCACTTTAAAAGAAGAATTAATAATCTATTGAATGATTACCAATCTCATTTGATCTCCTAGTTCAATTTGTTCATCCATTATCATTATCACATAACATCATCATGAAGAATAAAAAGGTGAAAAGATGGCTTATGAATTAGAGAACAATATAATGAAAATACTTATGCAAACTTATATAGATTGACCCTACACAAAATGAGGGGACGGATGTCACGCAATACAATCAAAACTGCAGACAAGAGACCAATTTTCAGCCCTAAATGGTTAATTATGTCATCCAAATCATCAGGTGACGGGTACTGGACTGTGTTCAGCAACTTTGACCACATATCAGACAGAACCAAGGCTCTCTCATCAAGAAATACAGTCATGGGAAAATGTTAAAGGTTGTCAACAATAGTCCCAAAATTCATTTGTTCAAAAGGGATGCGTTATTAGAAGACTGCTAGACAAGGTGCAGACCAAAGCATAGTTAATGTCATTGTGACCAAGTACCTGTACTGTATTCTTGAGGTTGCAACTGCTTGGCCCGAGCCTTGTCAACCAACTCCTTCCACTTTCTTGAAAGTGTGTAGATATCAACCTATGACAAACATATATAAAAACAATAAGGTACTTTGACAGTTTCAACAAAACCGATGATTAATTTAGTAACCAGCAAAACTGTCACCACACTTCAACCAAAAATAAAATTGTAATGGTGATCACGAACTGAACCTTATCAGCATCTTGGAGCACTGGGGTAAGCAATCCACCATCCATCGCCACAGCAACCGCAATATTAATATGGCTATTGTAAGTAAAACTTTTTCCATCTCTACAGCTTGAATTCACAACAGGATGCTTAATTAATGCCAAAGCTGTTGCCTTTGCTAGCAATGCCGTCATTGACACCCCCTTCGACTTCAACTAATCATCAATTCAAATAAAAAACAAGCATTCAGTGATTCACTCCAATAATTAATGAATTAAACCAAGAACTTTTCAGTTTAAAATATCTATACAGTAATCACTTCATCTTCTTATCATTAGAATTAAGTCCCATTAACATAAAAAGAACATTTCATCCCATAATTCAGTCAGTTAATTATCTTCAAACTAAACATAACACCTGATCACAACACATTATTCCTCTAATCAATCAATTTCATTAATTCTACACTAAAAATAGAATTTGTTCCACAAACAATCAAAATGATCATTTGCAAGATTTTCAAGTTTTAATCCATTCAAAATCAATCACTCCATTAACATTAAAACATCAAACTTAAACCTAACAATAAATCAATGAATCAATTATCAAATTATAATTAATTTCAAAGCTCACCTTCTTGTACAAAGCATCAAGAGCATCAGTAGTAATAGTATACCCAACCCTAAATGTAGGTACACCAAGACTCTCCACCATATTCCTACTCACAGCATTCTGCATTGTCGTAAACGGCACCATTTCCCCTAACTCCGCCGCCTTCACCACCGGAGCATCCTTCGAAACAACCTTCTCAGCCTTCCCCAAAGCCGCCGCTGCCGCTGCCGCCGCCTCGACATCCTTAGCAACAATCCTCCCTTGCGGCCCACTCCCAACCACACCCCTCAAATCAACCCCTAATTCCTTCCCTAATTTCTTCGCATACAGCGACGCCACCACTCTCTTCCCTCCCTCCGACGCCGGATGAGTCGAAAGACTCAATCCTCCCTCCTTCACCACCGGAGTTTTAAGATTCTCCCTAATTTCCACTGCCGGAGCTCCGCTAGATGGCGGAGACTCCGAAGAATTTGAAGCCGGAGGCGAAGCATTCGTAGCTTTAGCAATGGCATCAGCGATTTCGGCTTCGGATTCAGCAAGAAGAGCAATGGCGGACCCAACAGGAGCAGAAGACCCTTCATCAACAATAATCTTAGCGAGGAAACCATCGTAGAAGGTTTCAACATCCATGTCAGCTTTATCAGATTCAACCACAACAACGGAATCGCCCTTAGAGAGCTTATCGCCTTCGGATTTAATCCAAGAGACGATTTTGCCCTCAGTCATGGTGGAGGAGAGTGCTGGCATGAAGATTTCGCGGATTTTAGCCCGGATTCGGGTTGCGGGTCGGGTTGCGAGGGTGGGGAGGGGTCGAGTGAGACGGAGAGAATGGGAAGATGGGAGGAATGTTGTGGTTTTGAGGTTTAGGAGGTTCGCCATTGTTGAAAGCTCTGTAATTGTTGCTCTGTATTTTAGAGTGTGATTAGAGGAGAGAGAAAGAGGAATGAAGGGAGTGGAGAGAGTGTTGTTGTTTCTTGGTTTCAGAGAGAGCCTCGATTACATCGAAGAGAAAAGCAGGGGAAGGAAGAGTTGAGCGAAACTTGAACTAACTTTCACCTGTTTTTGATCATTCTGGTTATTGCCGGGGCTTTTTTTTTTTTTTTTTTCATTTCTTTTAGGGAGAATTCAAGTTAATCTCTGAGATTGACATGAAAAGTTAATCTCCTCTCACAATATATTATTTTACTTTTATTTTTAAAATAATAAAAGTAAAATAGTAAAGTGGCACGAAAACAAATGCATAAAATTGTGAGAGGAGATTAACTTGGAGTGTTAATCTCGGAGATTAACTGGGGCTCCCTCTTTTTTTTTATATTAATACTAATAAGTAAATATGTGATAAGTCATTACAAACTTTAGTTATAAGTTATGCAGATGTCAACTAGCTTAGTTGGTTAAAGTGTTAGAGGTGATACTTAAAACTTGTGAATGAATATTTGCTACATTATTGTTTTTGTAGCTCTCTTTACACTTTAAAAAACTTATGAATTTGTAGAATGTTAGAAAGTGTATGTGAAAATGTCTAAACGAGCATAGCATATTAGGTGGTTAAGGTTTTGGCATGTAATTTATTCATTTGTGTTAGTCTTATATCAAAAAATGTAATTCTACCCTATGATGTTGATTTTGTAAAGATTGATTTTTTTTTAGGAAAGTCTCCTTTTGTGAGTAATCTCCTAAAATTGGAATGTTTTTGATACACTTGAGTAGGTAGGAAGTGTTTAAGATAAGCGTATGACCTAGGAAGTTGATACATAGTCTATTTACGAGCATTTGAAGAGCATATGAAGTTTCAAAATGACTTTAGACATGGAAAAATTGACATGCACTTAATCACGAGATTCAACATTCGAACTATAATCAAAATCACTTAACCTGATTTCTGACCTAACCCTCTAGAGTCTAGACTAACAATGATCGTTTTATATAAAATTATAAAAAGGTTATTGACAATAAAATATAAAGACCATTATGAACTAAATTGAACTCAATCCAAACGACCTAATTGTCACCTCTAATAAAGCTAAAAAAAACCGGCCTCAATTACCCTCGTACCTCCCTTTGCCAATTGCAAATTGCCAAGACTCCGAAGTCCTAACTAAGATCAAAACGATCCATCTTTTTCTTATCTTGTTAGCGGGCGAAGTGAGAAAATGTTGGGCACTGCTGCACCCATCTTGCAGTTACACACATTTCTCTCTTTCCCTCACAATAACAAATGGAGCACCAAATCACCATTGAAGTACAAGAAGGTCGAAGTATTTTCCTCAGTTTCTTCAAATACCCAAACAATTACTGAGCAGGTTTCTTCAATTCCTGGGAATTTATCAGGGAAAGCAAAAACTAAGGAAAGGGTATTCCTTTTGGATGTAAACCCTATTTGCTATAAGGGGAGTTCACCCAGTTTACACTCTTTTGCTCACTGGATTTCTCTCTTCTTTTCTGAAGTCAGCCTTAATCATCCTGTTATTGCTGTAATTTTCTCTTCCCTAATCTCTTTGACTGATTCTTCTGCAGTACTGATTTTGACTTTTTGAGCTGAGATGATTGTTTTGGAATTTTGATGTTTATATTTCAATCTTTTTTTTTTGAGCAGTTTATATTTCAATCTTATGAAGATAGAGTTGAATTTGAGATTGTTTATATGATTTTCAATTTTAGAAATTTGGTAGAAAAGAGTTGAATTGATTGTTTTTTGTAGTTCATTTGTTTTTTTTTTTTTTTATGTATTCTTTGTTGCTTAAGAGTTTTGAGAATTATCAGATAATGTGCTTCCTCAAAGAAATGTAGTGTGGCTGCTGAGTTTAATAGGAAAGACATGAATGAAGGATGATGGGTGATGCTAAGAATAATTTTTATCATTGAAGGGGAGTTGCTAGTTAAATTTGAGAGCTTTAGGTAGAAATTTCATTGGGTATGATTTTTATTGAAACCTAAAAAGTTGGTGTGCCTTATTATGTAATTTCCATGTTCAATGCTCCCAATCGGTGTTTGTGGGAAGTATGCATCAATGTTTTACGTGCATTATGATGTTACTTGCATATCAACCAGCATTGATCAACGCGCCCTTAAATTTGAGAAGGAAGGGGATGGATATTCATGTAAGGTATATCTTGCTAAATCTGACTTTTTTTGCTAGACTAGATTGCTTTCATTTGTATAAATTTAAGCCATGAGCTAAGCTGCTAAGGCTTATATAGAAGTGTAAGAAATAGAACAAGAATATGTTTACTATGAAATGTAGATTTCGTTGCCTATTGGTCTTATAATGTCTCCATCAAAGGATGGTTTGTGCTACAAGAGTCAATATAAGCTCATTACATATTATTTCGATGGATGCTATGTTAATATCCAGATATATTTTGGATCTTGGTTCAAGAAACCTGGATTGTTGACTGTTAGTTGTATTGGATTCATTGGTTGTCTTATTTTCAAAATATGCCAATTGATGAAACATGTCCTTCTAACTCATAAAAGGGTTGGAGGTGAATGTAATCATTTGTTTGACTGAAATGTTCATATAGTCAGTGTTAAGCATTTACTTACTTCCTCTATCTCACAATGTTTACTTAATAATGCTCCTTTTTGGGATGTCAAAAAATATGGTGATTTGCCCATCCATTTAATTTAGTTTCTCCAAAAGATGAAACTTTTTTACTGATTGATTATATGTAAGGGAGCTTATAAGTTTTTGTTTTCCATAGAACTATCTATAGCAAAGAGTAATCATGGATAAAAAGTTGTACATTCATGAATCTCAATGTCCCAATTTGGTGGTGTTTAGCTGTATGATATGATTTTGTATGTCAACCGAACAATAGGCTGAGTTGTAAATGCTATGAAATAGTGAAGAATAGGCTGTCTGTGACTCTGTGAAGTATAAAAATCTCTTTGCTCACACTAAGGTGATATGTTCTACCAAGTATTGAACAAGGCTTCTACTGAGATGGATATTTTAGTACTATGTACATTGACCAAGTATTAACTTTGTCATGCTGTAATCATTGTGCAACCATCACTGCTGAGTAGGTGTTGCTGTAATAAAACACTTAAGAAGTGTTTTTCGTATGGTTATCTTTTATGAGACTGTATGTTTCAAAAGAAAGATAACAACTTGGCAGGAAAACAACGAATAGTTTGCATTGGAATTTGGAACATGTTTTTCCTGTGTAAGAATATCTTTATTGCTATGGTACTTTTTTTATGCATAAGCCGTTGATCTTTACCTGGAAAAGATCTGTTCTTTGGTAGGTACTCGATGGGGAAGGAGGCCATGAACACCGCAAACAAATATTACCGTCTTATAAAGCACACAGGCTCAAATATTTAAGGCGTATATATACATCAAAGGGATTCGAACAGCTTTCAATTGGAAGGTCACTTAAACCTGTTATAGATTTTCTGAAAGAATGTAATGTGCCGGTAAGGTGAAAATAATATTCCTTTTACTTTTTTGTGCTGACTTTTCTGAATCTCTTATACGTTTCTTTGCTTCAAATCTTCTATTAGTTCACTAATAGAAACTGTAACTTAAAGAATATCATAAAATAATATGTCATTTCCTTAGTGTAAAGTTGCATCAATGCTCTCATGGCCAAAGAAAAGGAAATGGAATAAAGAACAAAAATGAATGGTAACCGCCCTTGTGCTGATTTGATAAACCATACAGTTTGCCTAAGAATCTCAAGGACGTCAATGTCTTCCTTTATTCCTGGCACTTTGACTCCTCTCAGTCCCCATCTTTTGGGTGGGGGTTGTGTGTGTCTTTGGTGCCTAGGTGGTGGACTGATTGGTGATGGTGTAGCTTTTTTCCTTTTACTCCCTCTTCTATCTCTGCTGGTTTCAGCTAGATATAAATTAATATCTAAATATAGTAGTAGACTTCAAATCTATAAATAATAGAACTGAAGGATTAGTGTTGAATTTCTAAATAAGGTTGTACAGGAAACTAAGATTTCTGATCCTCAATGCCTATTATTGCTAATTAAATTTTAACATTAATGTCATACAGGTCTTGAAGCTTGAAGGTCAGGAAGCAGATGATGTTATTGCTACCCTAGCTAACCAAGTCTTAGATAGAGGAAAGAGGGTGGTCATTGCTTCACCTGATAAAGATTTCAAACAATTGATTTCAGAAGATGTGCAACTTGTTCAACCAGTGCCTGAGCTCGAAAGGTGGTCCTTTTATACACTGAAGCATTATATTGCTCAATATAGCTGTGACCCGCAGTCTGATCTAAGTCTACGTGAGTTTTGTGATCATCTTCCCTTTATCTTCAGTTAACATGTGCTATTTTTGCTGTCTTTGCAACTTATGACTTTCCTGCTATTGTTATCATTAAATTGCAAAGAATAAAAGGGTCTTGCATGCAAAAAAAAAACCCCTGATAGAGCCTTGCCCATGTGTAGGGTGTGTTATGAGTGAAGCCCAAAACTGTCATTTCCAGGAAGTACCCTACTGACAAAACAATCACCAATCTTATACATAACAGCAACAACAAGCTAAACCACTTACAAACTACATGAAGCAAATCAACAAAATGATGTAAAAAATTATCACAAGGAATAGCCATGATTTCATGGTAGCATCTATTGTAGGGAATCTAGGGATCTTCATCAACCAAAAATGACTTTCTTGCATATTTTCCCTGTTAATTTTGCTATCTACTTTGCGTTCTTTTTGCATTTGTTAAAGCTGTTATGAAGCTTGGGAGGACGGGTTAGAAGGCATTTGTCATCAAGTGGATTCTAAGGAGAAATGCTGTGATTATGATGCTAATCTGAACATTTTTTTTTTCTAAGTTCGATATTTGCTTGCGTTAGGACATTAATATTGCAGAATAATCTACTATTGTACAGGGCCAGGAGGACCAGGACACATGTTTCTAGAATATTGTAGATGTATATGAACTGAAATTTTAAAAAATTTACACTTACAGAAAAAAGAGCACTATTTAACTATCTAAAAGGAACACCACTAGTAAATTTTTCCAAGTCTGCTGGTTTTTCTTTTTTACGAAGTATACAATTTCAGAACTTGTTTACTTAAGATTTGATTCACACAAGTATAATCATCAATATGAATTCTATCACAGATAAGTATTCTTTTGAGGTTGGCTTACAAGTATTTTCTGAAGGAGTTTCATTTCTGTAGGATGCATTATTGGCGATGAAGTTGATGGTGTTCCTGGAATCCAGAATCTGGTTTCAGGATTTGGTCGGAAGACTGCTCTTAAACTCATTAAAAAACATGGATCTCTAGAGAATTTATTGAATGCAGCTGCTGTGAGAACTGTTGGAAAGCAATATGTCCAAGAAGCCCTTACAAAATACACATTTGAGCTTAGAAGGAACTACCAAGTTCTTTCCTTGAGGAGGTAAGTTGACTCACGACAATACTACATAGTTATGTATATCTTTTTATTGCTGTAGAAGTTAGATCTTGAAGATTGATCATGTGGCTTTATTCTAGGGACATTGATTTGCATTTTAAAGAAGAGTGGTTATCCCAAAGAGAGACAACAAATGATTCGGTTTCTCTAGCTAATCTGAACAACTTGTTGAGAGGAAGCTAAATCCTCAATTCTCAGATGTAGGATCCTGCTGATCAATATGGTAAACTCGAGTATGCAAGCATATGCTGTATATCCATATTTAAGGTTTGCTTTATTCATTGTTTATATACACACATCCACACCCTTAATTAAAGTGTTGATTAAATTTACCTATGTTGTAATTGCTTATGTTCTATCACTAAAGAATTTGATTCCTGCAGGTGAGAGGGTGCTTGAGTAATTTATCGCTGTACCATTCTTGACATCTGTCCGTGACAAGACCTGCTTGGGTAATCCAAATGAAAAAAGATGATGATTTCCATGATGGCATGAGAGAAGATAAGCGGATTGGTAAGATCACAATTTCTTAACCTATATTTTGGCCTCCTAATGCGGTTGCAACTGGAGTTTAAAAGATCATTTTTACCTTCTGAGTAAATTTGATTGTAGCTCTATGTTACTTCCACTATTTGTCACACCTCAAGTATCCATGATAGATCCTTGGCATTCCAACAAAGGCATAAAATCATTTAGACCAAATGCAAAAAATGTTTTTGTGTTCTTACATTATAGATTTTAAATAGCTGGCCCTTGCATGCTGTCCATTTTGCTTCATTTACAACGTGATCAGAAATAAAAGATGGATAATATGTTTGTGCTCTCACCAGCCTTATTGATTCCTTCACTACCATGCATTTATATGTATTTTTATATTTCTAAATTGTCGCTGTAGGTGTCGCCCGTTTTCCACGTATTGCTTAAAGCGAACAATCAACAACCAAAGATCAAGAAAATCTTATGCAGCCCTCCTGTTTATCAAGAAAATCTTATGCAGCCCTCCTGTTTATGCGTCACTGCAACCTGTCTAATCCTGAATTCGTTGTCATATATCTGTTGCTTACTTCATTGGCTCGATATGTATCAAGCACAGGGGTATTGCTCTGTTTGCTCAAAGTTGTCTTTGTATATCCTCTTTGGCATTTTCGTTACTCGTTCAGCTGTCTTCTATTTTGTGCAGTTGCGAAGTTGGAAATTTTTTGTATGAGATTTGGATGGTGTAGTCGTGGAAAAATATGTGGTAAATATGTTTGCATGCGGCTCCCGTGGACATCAGAATTTCGTCATTGCAAATGTCATTTTTTGGGAGGGACTAATCATATTATTCATTTTTGGGTCCATTGCTTTTACAAACATGTTTGTTAAGGCTTCATTTTCATCTTTTCATCTCTTATTGGATGGAATTTTGGACCTACCAATTTCTGGTTGAAGATACTTTAAGAATGGCAAGGAAAGATAGTACCCTGTGTTATAGTTATAGAATTACTTCTCATTTTAGGCTAGTCTAGCCATGCATGGTTATAGATTGGGTGAAAGGTGTGACCGCCTTAACCGAATAAATGATTAGAATCCACATGAAATTTTAGGTTTAGCTGTTCTTTGGTTTGGGGCTAAACAAGATTGATTTCAAACGAAACTTTGGAATCAGAAGCACGGAATTAGTTGTGAAAGTTATGTTGACACAATTTTACCCAAAAGCAATCTGAAAACCAATTTATACCATACTCGAATGTACTTTGAAATACATTATGAACTCACTCAACCTAAAATGACTTGGCTGACTCGATTGACAAATCTATTTAATTGAAAGTTCTCTATTAAGCTAATATTAAGTTCAATGTGTGGTTAGAATAACTTGGCTTTTCACTTGCTTGAAGAGTTTTGTATCTAAACATCGTACTTGTGCTACTAATTTCCCACCTAAGTTTGTCAATTGGCTGGGTATGTTATAGATAATTAAAAGTCCTGTTTTTAGTCTCTAATTGAATTGAGAATGACCTAAGCAAGGAGAAGATGCAACAACTAACAAAAAGTACTAATCATCAAAGTAGAGTGTGGATTTGTGCATCATCTTTTCTGTAATTAAAATTTTTAAAGTACAATAACAAAGTTAGTGGGTTATGTTTATTTGGAGTTTTTTTTTTGGGAAAAATTAGAGCTTCATCTTTGAACGAGTTTCAAATTAAGGTTTGATCACATTATGTTACATTTACAAAAACAATCTTTGCCTAATCATACTTGTATATGGTCCTTAATTTGCATACACATTTAAACTTTATTTTATTGTGACTAATTAATTAAGTAATTACACCATATACTATAATATTGTTGTTAAACCCTATTTATCATTCTTGACAATCACTTAACGACCATAAGGGATTATTATCTAAAACTAAAATGTTGACAATTTCTAATTTTTATTTAAGATGTAAGTATTTCAATTAATGATGAATCGCAATTTTTAATTTGAACCTTTTGAACCTTACCACATAAGAAAAAAAAAAAGCAGCAATTTTTGGTTGAATTAGAATGATTTAAAACTTTTTTATTTAAGATGTAAGTATTTCAATTAATGATGAATCGCAATTTTTAATTTGAACCTTACCACATAAGAAAAAAAAAAGCAGCAATTTTTGGTTGAATTAGAATGATTTAAAACTTTTTTTTGGTAAAAAAAAAATGAATAAAACTTGACAATCCAATCTAATAAGTTTAATTTATCTTCAATCTCCATGACTATCGGTCATTTGTGTCATTAACTCATTACTCATTACTCATTATGTGATTGTGTCTGGTCGAAAAAGAGCAAACGACAAAAGTCAACCAAAATAATTCACTAATTAATAGGTTTAATTAACTTCTGATTAGCTTAAGGCTGGCAGTATTAAATTGTTAGCTTTGACTTTGCTTCCTTCCAATTAACTTCAATTCTTCATCGGTTCTCCCACTCTGAACCTTCCTCGCAGGTGGCATAGCTTCCTAGCAACCGCCAAAGATCATAACTTTTACTTATAGAAGTATTTTTCTAAACATATTGCTCTTTTTTTTCCTTCCAATAATTTGAATATCACCTATCAAGTGGGAAATCAACTCAGATTTCAAAGATCAAAACTTTAATCATCTGGGTAAAAAAAGTTTTATCCCTTTTTTATTTGGAAAATTGTAAACTAATAATCTCACCTTTACCCCGTCTTCCATAAATAATCCTACCTTTTGAAATTTCAGAAACAATCCCACCTTTGACAGGAATCTTCCACTAATGATCCTTTTGACCTACAACCTGTTAAACCGGTTAATAATTTTTTTTCTTAGTCTTTCTCCTTGGACCACCAGTCCACCATCATTCCACCCACGCAGCTCCTTCACTCACCATACCAGCCTACCTGCTCACCACATTGACACCTCACCTAGCACCAACAACATGCTGCTGCCCTTCTCCCACTTCACCACCAGAGGCAACCGAAAGCAGCCGCGCTACTACTGCAGCCAACAGCCATCGCACCAGCCACGACTCACGCACCTTTCTCACAACAAATTCGCAACAGAAGCTCACAACAAGCAACCAGCTTCTGCAATAAACCACCGCCTAACCCACCTCACAACGCCGCATCAACGCGCCACCAATGCAGCCCACTTACAACCGCTGGACCTCCAATTCAATAGCTGCAACATCAATTCACACCCACAATTCAGCCCCTAAATTAGCCCCAAAAATAATTTAAAAGAAATATCAAGGGTCGATTTTGGGCTTTGAAGCCTGAAAACTCCATCCCCAGCCCCTAAAAACCCGACCCATCCTTGAAAACCCAAACCCTAGCCTCGAAAAACTCGACCCCAGCCACCTTCCTCAAGTTAGTGAAGGAGAAGAAGAAGATACGAAGAGATCATTGAGAAGTTGAGATTAAGTCGGACGCCTAGGTTGGGTTGCCGAGGAAGGGAGGCGGCTGCGACAGTGATATGGAGGGGCGGGGGTGGGGCTAGCCCCGATAACAATGGCGGGGGTTAGGGGTTTTGTTTTTTTTTTAATTATAAAAAATAGAATAAACCAACTAAAAGTCGACACGTGTCTCATAACCTAGTAAAACCGGTTACCAAAATAATTTAACCGGTTATGGATTGTTAGTGGAAGACCCCCGTCAAAGATGAGATTGTTTCTGGAATTTCAAAAGGTGGGATTGTTTATGGAAGATGGAGTAAAGGTGGGATTATTAGTTTACATTTTTTCTTTTTATTTTTACTTTAATTTTGTTTTTATATAAAATTGTGAATCATGATGATCATGTTTATGAGAATGAGACCCACCAACAAACGGTGGTGATTGAGACTTGGACTTCATATAGTGGAAAGTTAACGGTGATGATCAAATAGTTGACTCATCTAGGTCCCACATAGTGTATTACTGTTGCTTGGGGCGGGGGGACTACCATAAAATGCTGCCAAATTGCTACTAATACATTGAATCCCTTTTTATCTATTTACTCCGTATTTATTTATTATATTATTAATATTTATTTATCTATGGTTTTGATTTGTTTGGTGCTTATTTAATTGATCTAGTTGAACTTCAATTCCTCTTTTCAACATCTGGGTAACTTTCTCTCTCTTATTTGGATGGAAATTAGGGCTCTGAGCTGACAAAAAGGATTCTTGGGCAACCCTAAATCTGGTGAGTTCTGTTTTCTTTTTCCACCTTATACAAAAGATGATGTTTTTTTTTATAAAGTTGATTTATTTTATTTATTAAATTGTTTGATGTACTTGTTTTAAGTTCAATTTCTGGAATTTTGTGAAGGGGAAAGATCTGTGATGTTTATTTTTGTGCACTTAATTGCTGACATTCTTGAAATTGTGTGTTTTATATTGTGGGTTGACCTTAAAATTTGATAAAGATTGTATCTTTATTGAAATTTTGCTGAATTTCTTGATGATTTTTTTTTTTTTTTTTTTTTTTTTTTTTTTTTACTGAGATGGTGTTATAGGTTGCTTTAGATTTTGCTAGTTTTGAGTTGGATTGATACATCTTGAAGGAATTATATATTATATGCTTAATAGAAGTTGGTTCTGGATGTTGAGGTCATAATATAATGATCCTTTAGTTTTTGTATGTTGTTCAGAAAGTGCATCTCTTATTGTCTTTGATTGGTTAGGGGTAAGGTTGTGTACATCTTGACCGCGCCGTACCTGCATCATGATTCAAGTGTATCTGTGTAGGGTGGTGGTTGTACTTGTATGACAGCTTTTCTTTCTGCAGGAATTGGGGTTTTCCTTTGATCTCCAGATGTTTTGGGTGTTTTTTTGTTTAATCTTTTCTCTATGGGAAACTGGCCAATCTAATTTCAATGATGACAATTATAGTGTAAAATGTTGAGCATAACCATAAGAAAGCATAAAGAAGATGAAAATCCTTCAAAATGAGGGAAATCACATAGAGGTGGAGAATAATCCACTATAATGGATAGAGTATACTATTTAAGAGTATTTCTGTGAGTATCTAGTATGATGGGCTAGATGGCTAGGCTCAACCAGGTTGGCCTTGTTGCCTTTTATCCCCATGTGCCTGTATTGCTTTGATGCCTATTACCAGCAGATCATGATTCTTACTGTTTTAATGTTATCAATCTCTCACGGAGTTTCAGGATTTTGAAGATATGTTGGGTTTGTTTGGAAGATAAGGTAGAGCTTGGATACAAAGCCAGAAATTTTTGGGGCGGGGAAAGGGGACTTGGGGGAATGGGGGTGGGGAATTGTGTTGATTAATAAGTTTGTCTTTACTTGATGAAGACTAATATGCTCTAAAATTTTATATGGCTTATATCTCATGACAAGTTTACAGACCAATCCAAAGTTTGAACTGTCATCTTTTCCCTGGTGTAGCAACCCAGGAGAATGGTGTTTATTCTTCCATAAGAGGGATGAAATACTGTAGGTTATGGTTGTTGTGTAAGTGAAATGTGATATCATTGGAGCCTAGAGATAGCGGAGGATATCATAGTTTTTTATTTTTTTTATTTTTAGGTGTTTTTTTTTTTTTTGAAAGCAGCCAAAAGATAATATTATAATAGGTCCATTTCCGCAAGCTGTAAATAGCTCTCCGGGAAAGGATCAAAGCGTACAAGCTCCGAGGAAGAGGCACACTCAGATCTAGCTATCAAGTGGGCAAGAGTATTGCCACTCCTCTTAATATGGCTACAAAGAAAAGAAGAAAACGAACAACTTAAACTGATAATACGGGAAACAAGCAAATAAATGTAAGAAAGGCAATAATTGACATGACTTTTTTTAATTTTTTTTTTATTTATTATTTTTTATATTTATCACATGGAGAATATTTAAAAGGAGAATATTTAAAAGGGTGATGTATGAGATATTTTAACTTGATTTTGACATCAATTATCTACCACCTAATCTGTGTAACTGTTGAAAGAGTTAGAAGTGCAGAAGGAAAAATATCAAATCTTTGAATGACAATCATAAATATAGAGCAAGTCTATTTCCTTTAGGATGACCTTTTGTTTTTTTTTAGCTGCGTTGGCTGGTAAGATTTTTGTGCTCTTTTGCTCACCAGATGTTATCAACAGTTGAACTACTGAAATGGTTGATAACTTGATACATACGAAGTATCATTTTAGCATCTTTAGGCTTTGTAGTTTGTACATATAATATTGTTGCAAGTGCAGAATGATGCTGGATATCATGTATCATACGAAGTATATCAGTGGATAAAAAACAAGGGGATTTATTTGCCGAGGTCCCTGATGTTGTCTATTGCTATGTAGAATACTAAAATGGAAGTGATTGATTTTTGATCTACCTAAATACTTTTACTGTTATTTTTACTAATCTGTGTGGACATGCAGCTATTTTTCTTTCACTGGAATATTAATGTTTCTATGTGATTAATCCAGGTTTGGCCATCTGTTAAATTTGTCCCTGATTAGAATTTGAAAATGGACGTTAAAGATAGGCCAAATTCAGAAAATTGGACTGAGCCTTCAACTTTTGGGAATGAAGTGCAGCAGAATGCATCCCTGAACAATCAGCCGTTCACCAATTTTAATTCTCAGGAACCGTCAAAGTGGGAAGATCCTTCTATACTTGATTACAGCATGAGGATAGATTCCTCTTTCTCCAAATTTAACCAACCTTCCGAGAACTCATCTTTGCTTGTTGGCAATCCAAGTAACCAGGGAAAAATTCCAAACCAAAATGGGGCTCATATGAATCAGATGCCTGATGGTAGTAACTTTGATCCAAGAGCAATGCTCAATAATCTCTCTTTCTTGGAACAAAAAATCCACCAACTCCAAGAGCTAGTTCATATGATCGTTGGCCGAAAAGCTCAAGTTCCTGGCAACCAAGAAGAAGTTGTAATTCAGCAGCAGCAGCAGCTTATCACAGCTGATCTTACTTCAATTATAGTTCAGTTGATATCAGCAGCTGGTAGTCTACTTCCATCAATGAAGCATAACCTCTCTGCTGCTAATTCTAGCTTGCTTCTTAATAGGACCCTTTTTCCCTCAGCAACAACTGTTGGTACCGGTATGATATCGCAAAACAACAGAGGGCAAGTAAAGCAAGCTGTTGGTGAAGTTAAACCAGTGGAGCAGTCAAACCAGGTGGAGGTACCGGCCAATTGTGTAACTGAAATGAACTGCAACAACATGGAAGAAGATCATGAACTAAAAGATGATGATGATGGCAAGGAAGAAGAGCATCTTCCTCCTGGATCATATGAAATCTTGCAATTAGAAAAGGAAGAAATTCTTGCACCACATACCCACTTCTGTACCATATGTGGGAAGGGTTTCAAAAGAGATGCTAATTTGAGGATGCACATGAGAGGTCATGGAGACGAGTACAAAACTCCAGCTGCCCTGGCAAAACCGAACAAAGAGTCTAGTTCAGAAAAGGTGCTTTTGAAGAGGTATTCCTGTCCTTTTGTAGGTTGCAAAAGGAATAAGGAGCATAAGAAGTTTCAGCCTCTGAAAACTATTTTGTGTGTGAAAAATCATTATAAGAGAACTCATTGCGACAAGAGTTATATTTGTAGCAGATGCCATACCAAGAAATTCTCTGTTATTGCTGATCTCAAGACCCATGAAAAACACTGTGGCAGGGATAAATGGCTGTGTTCTTGTGGAACAACTTTCTCTCGAAAAGACAAGCTTTTTGGGCATATTGCTCTTTTCCAGGGTCATACTCCAGCCATTCCCTCAGAGGAACATAAAGGAACATCTGTGCCATCTAATATTTCAAATAACAGTGAAACGACAAACAATGTTGCAAATATGGGATTTAGCTTTTGCTCCAATGGTGCTAATGAAAATGGTGCACAGATTATGATGGATGGAAAGGGGAATGTTGATGATCCTTTCTTCTCTCTGCTAAATTACGAATATAGTCTTGGTGGGCTGCAAGATTTTCCGCTAACCAATTTTGATGATTCACCAAGTTCTTTTTCGTTCCTCAATTCTGAAGAAAAGGATGGGATGATGTGTGTCAGTAACGACGTTCATTAGTATTGGTTGGCGTTTTTAAGTTTTTTGTGCAGAGGAGCTTCTATCATCCTTACTTGTTTTCAAATTGGATGGACTCAAGCTCCTGTAATTGCTTAGCTTAAATAAATGCTTTATATATGATCATTGCACATTACAAATGTGTGCTGCATTCTTTCATATTTTTTTTTTCTGAAAGGATGCTTCATTCTTTCATTAATTCGGCTTCAATCTAATGTTAAAATCGCTAATGGGTTCTAGCAAGCTAAATGCTTGCCTAGCTACCAACCTTCCATATGATTTTATAGGTTCCAAATACATGATATAGAAGTGATTGTAAATTACAGCTTAGTAACTATCAATATGTTGAATCGGAAATGTAGGCTGCATATAGCCATATAGGTACACTACTGGGCTACTACATTGTCTACATTGCAGTTTGTTTAAAAATACACCGTGAATTATGATGCAGGGTCATCTTCAGTCCATTCTCCAAGAATGTCGTATGAGCAAGAACGGGTTTTTTTACCTCTTCGGAAACTCAGGCATCAGTCTGCAAGAACCACCCAGTGGGATCAGCTGTGAGTTACCTAGCCAAACCTTAAGACACATTGGCCCAGTACGAGTCACAACCCACCACCATTCCACCAATGCACCTCAGTAAATTTACTCGTGAAAAAAAAAGTTTATGAACGGTTTGATTAATATAGTCTGATTTAGTCAATTGTGGGGAAAAAAAAAACAAAAAAAATAGTTTGCCTTTATTTGGTTGTATATGAATAATGAAGTACAATAATCATTTTTTTTTGAGCCGATTGGGCCATGGTTGGACCGGTTTTGGTCACTGATTGGGCCATGGGGATGCCGTTTTTGGTAGTTGGTTCTACTGATTTTTTTGTCTTAATCAAATTTAGATTGACGAACTAAAACCTTACAAAATTCAAATTGTCAAACACAATTATCTTAATTTCTTTTAAAAAATAATTCAGATACAAAAGTTTTTAAGTGAAAGAATTGATGAAAATCAAACACGAACCCTACCGTATGAGAACGTCGTAAGAATTTCACAATAATATGCCCATCATTGAGAATTTAAGAGAGATAATTAAGAGAGATCAGATTTTTTTTAGCATGAATAGCAAAAAAGGAGATTCATATTGAATGAATTTATTTATTTCTAGGGATAAGAAAATTATCAGGAATGAGCATCAAGGGAATTGATACATTTAAGTATGTAGTATAAAATTTGAGGCCTTGATTTTAACCAAACTTGAGCTTTACACAACCTGCCCTGCCCCAGCTATGAACCTAAATCACCTAACGAATTGCAGTCATTCGTTCATAATACTGTGAATTATGAAGCAGGATCAGTTTCAGGCCCTTGACATTCTCCATAGCCTTGGGTGTCATCTTCAATGAGCTTGGATAAAATTTCTCTCTCAGAACAAAGTCGTCTGAGTAAGACCAGGTTTGACCTCTTGGGGAGCTGTCAGTCCACAGGAACCTCTCAGAGAATGGGTTCACCAAACTTTCCCTGAAATCCTCAGCCGGCTCACAAATTATACCCTGAAATGCCATGCAAACTTGCATCAAGATAACGAAAGAATATAGAATAAGACGATAATTTATAGGAGCATTTTAGTTGCTGGTTACCTCTGCCATGGCCTTAATCTTCAAAGTGATGTCATTACTGAGAAGGACGAGCTGTCCGTCATTCTTATTCTTCCTGAAGCTGAGAGCATAGTCAAGTACATGATCTTCTGTAGAGGGTGAGAGAAGTTCTGGTCGAAATTCAAGGGCGGAGAAGGAAAAGGAGCCTGCAGCTGTCCCACAACTGACTTGAGAGTAAGGTGATGCTGGAGGGGTTATTGCAACAGAGCGCTGTTCCTCTGTGGAATTTTGAACATGGATCCACCACTTTGTTTTAACCATGCAATCTTCTATCCATTCTAATGCAGATGATACCTCTGTATTTCTTCTGAAGAAACTCGTTTGTCGTTTCAAACAAGCAAGATCCTTTATGACTGGCAAAACAAGCCACAGTTACATACAGAAAGGTTCACAATTTGATTGACTATGGCAATAGCAGTAAAATTCAGGCAGTTCATTTTACCTATTTTGGGGATGATGAGTTGAGTTCCCTTGAGACCTTCAAGCAGCTGCAATGCCTTTCTTGATTCTTTGTTCAGTAGAGTAGTAGTGTCCACTAGCATACTCCATTGTCGGGTTTTTTCTCCAAAGCATTTGTCCGGTATATCAGTCTAAAGTATCAGGAATAATCAATAAAAGTGTTTCTTAAATGATAAAATTACAATACAAAGAGATCTAAGTAAAAAAAAAAAAAAAAAAAGGGAATGCAGCATTTGCCAACCTTGCTTGAGACTTTAGCAGCACCAGGAATGCAAGTTTCAGATTTACTATTCTGAGGTGAATCTGCCAGAAGGGATTGAAAAGGCATCCTTTCATGTTTTTTCTCCCTTAGCCTAAGTGATTTTGCTTGATTAGAAGAAGCACGGTGTGCTGTTTTCTTCTCCAGAGATTTTTTGGGTGAGTAATTCTCTTTATCTGATGAAGGAGACAAGCTGTCTTCATAGTAGAATTTTGGGCTTCCAATCATCTTTAAAAGGGGTGATTTCCCTGAACTTGAATTTTTTACTTCTTTCAACATAGCCAACTTTCTCATGGACTTGTGAGTATTAGGGGTAAAGTGCTCTTTGTCTGGAGTAAAGACTTCTTCCTCTTCTTGGCTTTCCATTTCATGAAAGAGAGCCCTAGTAACAGGTTCATGCTTGACAATCTTCTGATCACTTCTCTTTTTATTTCTTTCAGACGCACTCGTTAAAATCTGGGGGGAACTTTGTAATTTACCTCTTCGGGACCAAATGCTCTGATCTGATGTTATCAGAGGACTACCAGATGGCCTTTTAATAGAGCTGAGTGGTGGACTATCAAAGCCATTTCTCGATGATTTAATTTCAAACTCCGATAAGAAGCTTGCATCAGACAATGATGAACACACTGAAGACTCCACCCCCATATTTCCAGACCAAAAACTCCAAAGCTTGCCTTCATTGTGTTCCTTGACTGATGAATTCACGTTGACACTCTCCAAAGATTTCCTTTCAGAAGATACTCTAGTATCAGATATTATTTCTGGGAACTGCTTTTCTATATCAAGGTGATTGTTGTCAGTGCAAAGAAGAGCCTCATTAGTGGCAAGATGTGATGTTAGCGCTGCTGGTGATTCACACCAGAAAGTCCACACTTCTTCTGTGTTTGGAGCAACTTGCTCTCCAACCAATTTGTCATCATCACATAGAACACTAAACTCCACATCCTCTGAAGCAGATTCAACTGCATGTACCTCTTCATTTTCCTTTCCTTGAGGTTCCTCATCCTAAAATACGCAATTGACATGATGAACACAAAATCAGCAACTATATGAAGGAAAATGTATTGAAAGAAGACCATAAAAATATCCTGAAATAGGCTTATATTATATATCACCCAATAGTAATAAAACTCATAGCGTTTCTCGATTTCATAGTCATCTATCACCCACAAACAATCAATAAAATAGAAAGATAGAAGATGTTAAGGAGTGCAAATCATCTCACCATGACAATCTCTTCATCCTCATCTTTCTGCATAAGCTGTTCAGTGATTTCATCCAAAAACAAGGTATCCAAGCCCTCCAAAACAGAACCAACAGATCTCATGTCTTCAAGCTTCACTGACTGAGGATATTCTTCTTCCATGGGACATGCCATATATTTCCCTTCCTGCCCAATCCATTCCCAGTTCTCACCCAGAAATAAGGGCACCAAACCTTCCAAAGCAGAATCCAAAGGTTGCACATTTTCATTACTCACTAATTCCTGTGCGAACACTTGAGATTTTTCATCCAGAAATAAAGATATCAAGCCTTCCATACCAGGGTCTTCCAATTCAACACAGTCATTGTCCACTGCCATAACTATTTTGTCTGTGTTTTGAGCAACTTTCTCTACATCCAATATATCATCATCACACAAATCACCAAACTCTACACCCTTGGGAACAGAATCAACTGCTTGTAACTCCTCATTTTCCTGTCCTAGTGAATTCTCATCCTAAAATATCCAATTTACAAAACATAGTCAAGAACTATATCCAGGCAGGATAAAAGAAAGCACAGTTTAGATGTCCAATTCCAACTAATAGGCAAATATACATTATATGATTAATATCCAATGTCTCAACAGACAATCACAGTAAATCTCATTGCATATCTCAATTTCATCTAGTCATCTATCACCAACAAACAATCAATAACCTTATACATACTAAAATAGATAAAGAGTGCAATTTATCTTACCTTGATGATCCCTTCATCCTCATCTTGCGACTGCACAAAGTCCAAGGGTGGCACAAAAGGGTTGGAAACATCATAAGCTTGGCTCAATGGAATCCAGTGCAGCTTGTAAACCCTACTCGACCCTCCAATCCTCAAACTATCACTCTCATTCATCCTTGTTCTTATATTTGGTTCTATCCTTTTATCTGACACCCAAGTTCCATGCACTAAACAGAAACACCAAAATTGCATTAAAGATCAAAACCCACATTATTCTTAAACCCTAAACCTTACAGAAAATATAAAATCACAACGAAATAAACATAGAAATTACAAAAAAATCAAGACCCACAAACTTTTGAACCCTCATAAAATGAAGTTAGAATACCCACAAAATTTCAAAATTGCTTCCACCATTAAACTCTCATTTTGTTAAACCAAATAACACAATTTACAGAGCAAAGCAAAACAAACCCACAAAATCAACTTCGAAAATTCGAGTAATACCCCAACAATTCAAATAAAAAACTTCAAATAAGCACTAGAATTAGTACTGAATTGAACTTTACAAAGTTTCAGAAGAAAAATCGATTACCTGAAGATAAATCAGTGATAGAAAGGTGTTTGGAAGAGGGTTTAGAGTGAATGCGGAGATGAAAACGGCTAATACTGGGATGTTCTAAGCGAATATCGCTATCTGGGTGTCGCCCAACAACTAATGTTTCTTCAAATTCTTGATGGATTTTACAGAATTCATCATTTTGTTGCTGGGTTTCATTTTGATTTACAGGAGGGGCGTTGATTAAGAAAATGTTCTTGAGAATAGCGTTGTTCTTCCAAACTGTAAATACTGGTATTTGCATTTCTTTCTGGTTTTCCATTGCGCCGGTGATGATGATCGGAAGTGGAAGAGAGAGAATTTTGGGAGGTTTAAAATGGCGAGGGTTTTGTTGATTTCAGCTTTTTCAAATTTAACTTCTGAATCTTTAAAATGTGATACTGTATGTTGAAAGTATGTTGTAACGGATATATTTTTTCTCAATTGTACTGAGTACATTGACTACATTCTATTGTTTCCTCTAATAAATTTGTACCCGTAAGCCGTAAGGCCGCTTATGAGTCTATGACACTATTTAAGTTAAGGATGTCACTAGGCCAAATCGTCATGACACAATATAGAAAAATTATACTCCGTATTGTATATGGAATATAACATATGATAAGCACAGTACGGCACATGATGGACAATGGGATGAACTTGAGCCGTGGTTTTTATAAGGAGGATACAAATCATACAACATAGTTTGACAAAACTAACAAATCACATTAAAACAATTTGAATTTGGGGTAAACACAAATGCATTATTGTGGCACGTGGCCACGTGGGGGCTTAGGCCATGCTGAAGCAGCCCTTTTGAAACTATTGGCACGACACAATTAACACGATAGTAGGGACTAGGGAGTATGTTCATTTGTGGGCCAAACAAGTTAAGCAAGTACCCCTTCTATTCTTGTCAAAAAAAAAAAAAAAATTACTCCCTCTATCCTTATTTTTTTGTCCCATTGGACTTTATACGTTTTCCAAAACACGTCTCGTAATGCAAATAATTTTATTTCTCTACGCGTAAAAATTATAAAAACTTGATATTAATAAAATATACAATTAGACGAATCCAACAAAACCCAACATGACTATATTACCTCTTATTGATTAATGAAAATTTATAGTAAAAGTTTTTAAAGTTTGACCCCATAATTTACAATGGGCAAAAAAATACGGACAGAGGGAGTATTTTGTTTGCAATAGTTTAAGGGCTTGTTTGGTTACACAAAGAAAATGGGGAAGTGAAAAATCATGGGAATTTGAAAATAGATGAGTTGTTTGGTTGACAATAAAAAGTGTAAATGTGGAAATTGCAAATTAATGGGAATTATGACTTCCTACAAAACATGGGAAGTTAATTACCCAAAACCCAACCCCCCTAGGTAAGTCAAAATTCTCATGATTTGCAACTTCCTTCATGCCAACCAATTGAATGTAGGTATTTAATTCCTATGAAATACAAATTTCCATGGAAAGTAGATTCCATATAAAACAAACAACACCCAAGTCCATAGGTCAAATTTCAATCAAGGGCAAAGAAACAATAAAGACTAATATTTGAGAGATGAAACGAAATATTAATCTCTCTAAGCGCTGGATTCACAAAAAGAATTTAGTAGAATTGTCGTAGGGGGCGTTTAGTTCACAAAGTGGTATGGGTTTGGAATCAGGAATGAGGTTAAGGTGACATCGGGTTGGAACTTGATACTTAATATCATGTGTTTGGTTCAATTTTGGAATGAAATTTCTCACTATTTCCTCCTTTTATTTGATACCTAAGGGAACGGAATGGGTCAAACCCACCTCCCCCCAAGGTTTTCAAACCCCATACCTAATGGGTTTGAGGTATGGGTTTAAAATTCATACCTTTGACAACCAAATATATAGTATGAGTTTTAGTCATTCTAGACTCATACCTCATACCTATATTCCGCGAACCAAACACTCCCAAACGAGTTGAATTTTAAGACGTATGTACTTCACACAAGAGGCATGAAATGATGTAGGGTTCACAATTTCCCCTTGAGATTAGAACACATTCTATATATGTTAATGTAAGAGGGTTACAGTTTTGTATTAGACCCATATGGCTAGCTAAAGACCCTAGAGTAGAAATTCAATTAATAGTCATAGAAATATGTAGGTTTGAAGTTTGATGGTCTAATCGATTTGGTTTTCGTACAACTCTCTATCAAGGTCCCCCTACCGCCAAAGAGAGAGAGAATAAGGGGAATTCTTATGAAGAATGCTTGGTTAGGAGCTTTGCAAAACCTCTTGTATTTCATCCTGACAGGTCATGTTAGTATGCATCCAACATCTTATCTTTTATGATCAGAGAAGTTTTTAGAAGAAAATCGCTTGGCTGCCTTTTCTATATTACTAGTTTTTAAAACACTTCATAGATTTCACAGATAGTGAGGTGTCATGGCGTGACAACAATAAGCATTTAGCCTTAAATAAGAGCAGGGGTGATCTGAACATTTTCAGAAACTACTCATTACACGTACTCATCAGCTCCCTGATCACTTTATGCAGGGACTGGGAGCCCTATACTATGATGGATACATGCCAACTTTAAGGCAGTAAACGAATGGGATCCTGATCATGCTGCAACTCTTGACTGGAATGAACTATTTTCGAGATGTACTGAAAAATTCAGTCTGCAGTGTGGTACATATTCAGAAGCCTTAAACACCAAAATTGGCACAAGAAGCTTTATTCAGAAGTATACATTTTGCTTGGCTTGGGGGCTTAAAAGTTTAAGGTATATAATTTACTATTTTACTGCTATGATGCCTTACTTTCTTATAATCTCATAGATCATAGATGAAAACATAATGTTCACAAGAGCATAAGAAAATATGCAATAGGTGTATCAAACTACGTATATTATTGGGCGGCTATGCATATCTAGGCTGGAGCATAAGTTGTGTTTTAGGAACTCTATCAACATTTAAACTCATATATAACATGATTTCAGATATTTTGATCGAATGATAAAGCCAATGTTGCAGTTGATGGTCATGTTCATGTATTTCCCTTTTGTCACAGTTCCTTTGGCCAGATATTCAATGCTAGCTCATATACCACAAGCAATTTTCAGTTTCATCATTGTAGTTTTTGGTCTACTTTTGTTCGGAGACTTGTTAGCGAAAATGCAGGTATTGTCTTTTTACTCTATAATACGGAGTACTCTAGGACCTTGGTTTAGGTTATTTATACGCACTTGATGTCATTAACTGACAATAGAACCGTTTTGCCTTCTGTTTGATAGTCCATCTTGCAATGCACAGAAGTGAAAGAAGACAGGCAAAGAGCAAGACAGAGGATAGTAGAAGAATGGGTTAAGTATCATCAGTTACCTCCACCTCTAAAGAAGAAAGTTAAGCAAGCTATTCAATCTGAATGGAGTGCCACTAGAGGCGTCAATTATGAAGCCATGTTGGATTCACTTCCACAGAATATAAGATCTGACATTCGAAGAAATTTGTATCAGGAGATAATCGGCACTGTCAGTTTCTACCTTCCTTTTCATACTTCCTCTAATCTGTTCATTAATACAATCAGCAATCATGGAGGGAGAATGACCTCCTAAATACTCCGTGTAATGACCATTCAGGGAGAGAAGTCATATCTTTGTTCATTTTTCAGATGCCAATATTTGCAGAGATGGATGATGTTCTCATAAGTGCTATCAGTGGTTACCTCCATACATTCTCCAGCAATGAAGGTACCTATGTAGCGATTGAGGGTGAACCAGTTTGCCAAATTATGTTTGTATTTGGTGGACAATTAGAGGTTTCAGGTGCCAACAATGGTGGGCAATGCATTATCCTTGGACCGGGGGATTTGTGTGGGAAGGAGTTGCTGGAATTGTGTTCACACCCCACCACAACTAGCAACCTTATACCTGCAACTCAAACAATCAAGTGTGTTACTGATGTTGATGCATTTTCTTTGCGGGTTGATGATGTGAAACTCCTGGCAATCCAATTCCACCATGATGGAAAATTTCGCTGTGCTTTCCAACGTTATATAGCATAAGATGGGTTGTCGTTATATTGCTCTGTATCTTTTCTTCCCACTCAACGGCTATTAAAACGAACCCTTGTATGAAATACTTGAGGTATTGATCATGTGTTTAGATTAATCAGTAGATCCCGACCATCTTATTGACATAATGACAATAAACCTGAAATTAGAAACATAAATCGCCCCTGAATAATGTTCAATGCAATTGCATCAATCTTTTCATTACAAGTACTAAATTTCAAAAAACTAATAATCCCATACCATTTCCATTTGAAAAAATATACTAGTATATTCCATTAAAAAACCCCAATAACAGAACAACTTCCGTCAGGAGAGAGTTTATGAACTACAACAGAATATAGCTACAAAGCCTACAATTATAAAATATATAGCATCCAACACACATTTTTTGTAAATAGATACTGAAAATAGCCACATTATGTAAAGAGATCATTAACGCAAAAGCACAGAAGGACATCAGCATCTCACAATTCATTAGGTACTTCATTAAGTATAAAGAAATGTACAAATAGTTGTACAGGCCAATAAAAACCAAATCTTTCACTAACAAAACAAGAGCTTGATCTAAAAGTTCAAAACTAGTCACAGCCTCACAGGCACAAAACAGATCCTAGTTCTAATTCTAAACTGTCACTAGCCCCAATGAGCTTAGTCACAACCGTTTCTTCTGCTTACAAAGAACAGGCTAAATGCAAAATTATACTTGTAACAATTCTGTTCACTCTGCTGCAGATCTACATCAGGAAATGGGTGGTGCTGCAAAACCATGAATCAAAAGTCCAAAACTAGTAATTCAACTTAAAATGAGCTACTGATGAGAATAATAAATAAAAGACCATTCTGTGATCATGCACCTTGCATTGAGCATCCTTCGCTTTTTTCACCAACAGACCAAGCTTTTTTATTTGACAACATAACATTGAACACAGACTTAATTATCCTTCTTCTCAAGTCTTGCACGATGTCTGAGCTCGGCCCTTTTCCAACGAACAATCAGATGGCACAATGAGAAGAGGGTGTTTATCTGTAGTAGGAACATTTTATAGTTTATTTTATCAGCATTTGCGCATTATTAAATTGGGAAAAGTTAGAAACAAAGGAAGAATACTAACCAAGATTAACATTGCAATGACAAGAAGTGGACCAGACCATAGCACAGAGAGGAAAATTCCGTGTGGGTCAAAATAGTTCTGAGTGGCAAAACTCTCCCAGTTAGCACCCAGAAACTGATTCAATCTTTCAGCAAGATATACACCAGACACTGCAGGATAAAGGCTTAATGTTAAACAGTGCACATTATTTCAATTACTGCCTGAAGTCCAATATCCTCTTTAGCCCTTTTTTCCTATCAAATTCCTCAACCACTGCCCAACACACCTTTCCCCCTTCCTTTAACAGCAAAAGGAAAAAGGTAAAAACCATGCCCTCACAAGTTGCAAAGGCTGATGACCTAGGATTGAAAAGAATCATGCACTATTTTTTTTTAGCCACCCAATGAGGCCACAACAAGGTGAGTGGTTTAGCTGTAAATTGATGAATTTCTCCACAGGTTGAAGGAAGAAGATCCAACAGATCAAACAATCTACTGATATTAAGACATATAACATGACTACAATCAGAAAATAAGAAGCGTACATGCAAGAAGGAATAGACACATTTGGAAATTGACATGTCTCCTCGAGAAGATAATAGTCAGCAACAGTAACACATAAAATCCCAATAATCCCATCAACCACGGCTCCTGCATAAATTAATCAAGCGTTAAAAAAATTAAAAAGAGCATGTAGGAAAAACTCACCTACAGTATAAGATCACAAACACTAATGCATCTGAGATTAATGGAATACAAATTGATTTACAATAGGCATTATCTATATATTAAATGAATGAAGAAGCAAACATATGCAGATAAGTCACTAGATTTCACAAAATGGTAACAAACAGTTTTGAAGGAGGAGCAAGCAGAAATAATTCTGCCTAAATAAAGTGAACAATGGAAATTACTGAGCAACACAATTCTCTCATTCTGCATTTCACAAAATTACCAAATATCACTCATTCTCTGTGGTAGATCAGTTTAAACACGACTAAAATACGAGTTATTAGTTACTAACTGATTTCTCTAGCTTGAATTATCCCCCTAAAACACTAGAGTTAAAGATACATTATTGATATTAGTGTTTATCTAACTTGAATTATCCCCCTAAAACATCTAGTGAGACCTTCAAAGAGCAAAAAGAAAGCAATTTTCGAGTCCTTAATACATGCTACATAGCATGTTCAGCCTAGAATTGAAATTGGCGTAATTAATCATCATTATAAACAAAACTACATCACTGCCTCATTAGTACGAAAATAAGCATCTTTCTTGCTCAAAATCTCAGAATCTGAATTTTCCAACAGCAAGATAAAAACAAACATAGCAATACTTGATAAACAGCTCCTACACTACATTCTTCTCATCAAAACAACAATACACAATCAACTACGATTCAATTACAATCAACAATCTTGAAATTTTAAAATAAATTCATATTTAATATAGCATAAGAATAATCAAATTTCAGATCTTAGGTGATAAATTACTAAAAATAGGCTGATTCAAGTAACAAATCCAAGAACAAAGTGAACCTAAAATCAATCAAATTTAAGTTGAGGAAAATGAAATGCAATTTAACCTTCCAATTAATGGCGTGGAAAAAACCTATGAATCTATCATAAGCAGGTGCGAAACCAGAACGAAGTTCATCGGACAACTTCTGAACAAGATCCGCCATTTGATTCATATGATCTTCCATTGCTGATCTCACTTCCTCCATTGCTAATTAGTTGCACAAATCAATTCACATAAATTTAGCAGAAATTTCTTCAAGTTTCAGATTTTTGAAACCCTGTAAAGTGTAGAACAACCTCAAAGTGTAATTGTAAATCGAAATCGAAATTTTTTCAGTTGTTTCTGGAAAATTACATAATTCATTTAGTTTATCTTTTTTATTCTGTGGGTCTTCTCCATATTATTTGGGCCTTTTAATTGGGCTGCTTTCTTTCATTTTCACATTAACCAATAAGTGTTACGTGCACCCTAGGTTGCACCACGCCCAGTTGTAATACGAATTAGGGATGTCAGTGGGGTGGGTTTTCTAACGGGGCGGTGATGGGTCTTGATTTGGCGGGTGATGGGGTGGGGGTGGGGATGGGGATAAAAACCATACCCGCTAAGGGTGATGGGGCGGGGGTGGATTTTAGGTTGTACTCACCCCATCCCCACCCTGTCCCACCCGCCCTACTTCGTACCCGCCCCATCCCCACCTACTCCACTTCGTACCCGCCCCATCCCCACATCCATATATTTTTAAAAACAAAATTATATACTTTTATACTATTTTATAAAAAAAAATATGTAAAATAAAATAGTAATTATAATACTTTGTAATATACTTATATTATAAACAAAAAAATGTGTAATATTAACAATAATTTTTTTCTTTTTGCAATCTTTATTAATTATGAAGGATTGTGTATTTGGGAGGCGGGGATTAGGTGGGGGTGGATATCCAAGTGGAGGTTGGGGTGTTGATGGTTTTGGAATTGTACGCGGGGATGGGGATGAATTTTAGATCCGCCGCGGGGAAGGGGATGAAAATTTTAGGTGGGGATGGGGATGGGAAGGCCAACATCCGCCCCGCCCCGCCCCATTAACATCCCTAATACGAATATTTAGTAAAAAAATATAAACACGTTAAAAAAATGAACATTTAGTTATAAAAAAATGAACACGTAAAAACAAAATGAACATTTAGTATTAAAAAGTGATGATGTTAAAAAAAATGATTATTCAGTATATTAAAATTGAACATGATATCATATAATCATAAAATTGATGGACCACGACCTTAAAAATTTATTAGTAAAAAAAAAATTTGAAGACATAAAAAATAAAATGATCATTTAGTAATACAAAAATGAACACGTAAAAAAAAATATTTAGTAATAAAAAATAAACATGTTAAAAAAAAATATGAACATTTAGTATAGTAAAAATGAACATTTATCATACAATCATAGAATAGTTGAACCATACCTAATAAAATGAACATTTCATAAAAATATATGAATACATTATATAAAATGAACATTTAGTACAAAAATAAACACATAAACAAATGAACACGTTTAAAAAAATTATGAATGTTAAGTATATTAAAAATGAACGTGGTTTTCATATATTCATATAGGTTCAAATTTATTGTATATAACAATCAACAAAAAATAAAGATAAAATATATCGTTAAATTATGTTCATTTTTTATATACTAATGTTCATTTTTAGTGTATTAAATGTTCATTTTGTACAAAATGTTCAATTTTAAAGTACTTTATGTTCATATATATTTTTTTATTTATAGAACACAAATTCAATTGTAATTATTTCAACTCTAAAAATTTGAATATCTACCTTAAATCTAATCTTAATTCATCATAGAGACAATAATTATCGATGTATAATATAATAGATTAGGAATCACAACTGCAAAATTGATAAAAATCAATATTTTTACAACATTCACATTTTTATAATTAAAATAAAAAACTCAAAATCACCTCAAGTTTCATGATCATGACGAAGATGATGGATAATGCTACAATGGTGACGGATTAGAGAATATATATCCCGCATTAGAAGGACAAAGAAGTATAAAAATTAAAGGAAAGTGAGGTAAGAAAGAAAATTAACTTATAAAAAAGGGGGAAAAAAGAGTTGAGAGAAAATTTCAGATTGAGAAGAAAATAGAGGACAGAGAAAATTAATAGAGGTAAGAAGAAGAGAGAGATTTAAGAAAGAAGAAGAGAGAGATTTAAGATATAAAGAACGTATGTTCATATATGAGTACAGTGGTGCAACTAGCTTAATTAGCTATACAAGTGTGTAGCTAAGAATTTGTGCTCACAGAGCTATTTTTGGATGGGCTTAATTCCATGTTTTCTAACAGAAATTAGTAGAATATATACATTTGTAATTTTTGTAATCCTGATCCTGTTACTCTAAGGTAGTAAGGTGGTCTTCTTGTAATCTATAAGGAACATTTCAAATAGCCAATAGTAATACATCTTTGATATAAAAAAAGTTATTGATTAGAGATAGATTTATCATTGATTAAGGTCACGGCGTTACATATAATTATATAAGTAATTGAGTATCATTAATTATACACGTTAAAAAGTTATTTTAGACATATATGTTGAATTTTTTTCATCAAATAGACGTGAATTTTTTTTTTTCCTTGATATAAAAAGATGGAGCATTTGTTAAAAAAAAAAAAGTACGGCTTTTACTTGCCCGGATTTATACTATATATATGAATGTTTATTATAGATTTATAGTGCAATATTGGGATATAAAATGAGTAAGGAATGAATCATATTGTCTTCCACTGGTAGTAAGGGTCTAGTACTCTAGTGACATGTATGTGTAAGTGACACCATTTTAAATTTAAACAATGGTGTGTAGAACAACTTGGTCATAACTTATGTGTACAGTCTTTGGGAAACGACTTAGACCAACACTACATACATCGGAGGCTAATTATTCTGTTAAGGGCAATAATTTTTTCTTTCACCACATAAATACATACGTACCCTATTCTTCTATCTATTTTATTATTTCTCTGTTACACTCCATTTCAAGTCTCATGGACAAGCAACGCATTGAATGAGGATGGTGCCCAAAGGATGCGGAATATGGAATTCAAGGTCCTTTGGGTGGGGCTTCCCATGGTTTGGCATAATCTGCTCTTCATGCTGAGATGATTGCTTGTTTGGAAGGTTTGTGATGGGCTAGGAGTAGGTTGATCAAGGCCGTTCTAAGATGGAGAATATTAGGCAATCGAGTGCGGATTTTGATTGGTGCAGCATTCATAAGGTTGACAAGAGCTATGTTCACAGGGCGCATTTGCTTGCTACCACGACCAAGGAGGATTTATCGTTGTTTTTAAATAATGTAGTATAATTATTTTCTTTTTTTTTGAAACCATGTAGTATAGTAATTATTTTATTGGGCTAAGTGTCAAAAATAAAATACAATCAATGATTTGTGATCACTACCAAGGAGAATTAAATGACCGTAAGGAAATTCACAATGGAGGGTTAGTACTTAGGCTCTGTTTGGTGGTAGCGTTTGAGCTAGCGATTAACGTTTTGACTCGTTAAAACACTACTAGAAAAAAAATAACAGTGTTTGGCAAGGTAGCAGTGTGAGTAACGGCTAGCGGTAGAGGTAGCGTTTCTCAAACGTTAAAAATAGTAGCGTTTAAGAGTAGCGAGTAGCGTTTGTTAATTTTTGCTTACTTTTTTTTTTAACAATTTATATGATTATTAATATATTTTAGTATTGCAACGCTACTTTTGCCAAACACTCATACTATCAACCGATACTTTGACAGCTAATCTCTACCCACTACTAATTGACAGCTACTCGCTACCCTAATAGCTACCCGCTACCCGACCGCTAAGAGCTACCCGCTACCTCTAGTTTTGCCAAACAGGGGTCTTAGTAGATGTTAGAAACAACACATTACATCCCAAATGTTTTTAAAGCCATAAATCCAACATTGAGAACCATGTTGCAATTTTTAATAGGGAGTGCAATAGTTTTCAAACCCATGTTTGAGACACCATATTATGTGGATTCATCCCCCCCCCCCCCCTATTTTCCTCCCTCCAACACGCTCCATCTTTTGGTATTAATCCTATATCAATTAACAAAAAAATTCAAAGTCTAATTAAATTTGTAATCATTTTATAATGGCATTACCTTAACACTAAAACACTTCTAATCGTGCATCATGTCTTTGATGGAAACAGGAGGAAACAACAGCTAGGTGAGAAAAACAAAGACATTAAAAAAAGGAAGTGAACAAGATTTAATTAATTCCAAATCATTGCGTTCAAACCCGTTTCAAGAGACATTGTTCACAAATAACTGTATGATGAATTAACTCTACAAGAAAATTATGAATCATATACAACGCCAGGCAGAGGCGGTTATAAGGAACCTATCTTGCCAGCCTAGAGATATACCCCTCCCATAATCCCTTTCGTAAATTCTGAACCCGCCACCACCAGAGTTCCCTTCGAAATGAGGATGATAATGGCACCCCATTTTCAGCAGCAGCTTTGCCTGAATTGTTGCTTTCGAGCTCAGTTCAATTCCTGAAAACCCATGACTTATCATCCTTCCTTTCCATGTCTCCAATATCTCAAACCTTGAACACTTCACTTCTTCCTCGGAAGCTATCAGATCTTTGATCTCTCTCCCAAGATGGTTCTTCTCTATGTTCAGTCTCTCGGCACTCTCTAGAGGCAGGCAATCATCCAAGGAATCGAACATTGCAGCATAATAATGCAAAGAATCGACATAATTTGGGAGGATACCACAACTGTTTTGACTTCCTTCTCTTTCTACTAAAACTACTATTGAAGGGTTTAGAGAGTGTACGGCTGTCATGGTTTCTGAAATCTTTAAGATATCACTCAAACTACTGAGGTGGAAGACCATATTTACTGCTATTGTTTCTTTCTCTCTCCTTTCAAGGTTGACGAGCTTTGATCCTCTTAGCAACCCATGAAATTCAAAAGCTATATTCTGAAACCCCTTAGAGAAGCTTATCAATCTATTCTCGGTGTCAATCAGCTCTTCCAAGCTTTTTGCTAGACCTGTAATCCGAAGTGATACTAACCGGTTAGAAGCAGTAGCCATCTCAGAGAGAGACTGCATAAGAGAAGGCCATTGAAAACCATGTGAGATGTCAAAATCAATCACATGTAATGCCCAGTTATTATTTTCTTCCTCCCCCTCGAATGCTTCTAGTATGGCCTGATTGGCAGTAAAATGAGCAAACTGATAAAAAGGAGAAACTCTGTACATATGAGTAAAAGCCATGAACTCTTCTGCAGGTATTGGTTTGCTCATTACCATGTTATAGAATGCAGATTTCTGGGTTAAAAGCCTTGCAACCAACCCATCAGCAAAATAAGCAGCAACCCTTTTCCCTGAATCACCAGTTACTGAAACATATCGATAGAGCTCCATCACATTATCAGCAGCAGAGCTGACATTATTTTCTTTGATTAATGTGGCTGCTACGAGCAATAAATGAATCAGATGAAGACCTGAACCTTCTTGAACATTTTTTCCTCTTTGCTCAATGTTCAACATTCTCTGTCTCTCTTCGAGCAGCCTGAAAATCTTTTCTTCCCATTCTTCAACTGAATTTGTCAGAGAATGAGAATCATCGATCCTCCTCCTCTTCAGTTTTCTCTCTACATGGTCAGAGTGACCGACAGTGGCTAAGCTAAGGCTCAAAACCTCTTCATTCATCGTAATGGCTTCTGTAATAACGCAGGACTACAGAAGAAAGCAGACTTAAGAAAGCTCAGAAAACGAGGAAAAATAATGAAGTATTTAGAAGTAATGAGGAGAGAATAGAAAGCAGAATGGAATAACCCAACACAAATTCTTTATCATTAGCACCAAGGAGAATCTATAAATAATTAGAGACCCTGCTTTTCGTTTTACGTTTCAGGTTAGTGAGGTCACCAAAAGCAATAATATATAGGAAGAGTATCTATAATCTATACTGGTTCCTTGTCTTAGAATTTAGGGTCATGGAACAGCTAAGCCCTTCCAATTAGTATAAACAATACCTGAAAAGGCCAGTGTGCAATGCGCGAAGGGTCTTTATTTACTAGTCTTTTGGTATCTCGGAAAAGCAAGAAGTGCACTTATAAAGGACAAACGGCAAGAAAAGTGTTGAAGCTTACCTACCTGTCTCTGAGATTTGCAACATTTGCCTACAAACACTGCCTAGATTTGCTAATAAAAGTACGCAAGTCGTTCCAAAAAATGATGATTAATATACTCAACCACCGTGATATGACGCTAAAGATAATCAATCAGCGGAGATCAAATCTCAAACAGATTCTGGCAAATTAAGTATTCAAGAATTGTTTAATTCAATCAGCAAAGACAGTCTAACTTATAAAATTACTCAGCCAATCGTCACTGTATAGGCACTCAGAGCTAACATTCAGAATCAGATTTTCTGGATTATATTATGTTGATGATTGGGAATCACACACGCCTTCACAAGTCAAAGAAGGAATATGAAACCAAAAAGTCTACTTATAAAAAATGTGGACACAAATGATTAAGTGTACGCATCTTTCAAATTATATGCTTCAACAGAACAACAGGTGATGAGAAAATAGTTAAGTATAAGAAAGTCAGTAACAGATACTTCGTATTGGTGAAAAAATTGCAGATGGTAAAATTTAAAGCGTTTAAGAGTAAACAGAAAAAATCAATATCTCTGCCCTGATAGTCCTGATACATCTAAGTATGGGGTCAAATTTACACAACCTATCCTATAGTATGAGATGAGTTGTTTCAATTTACCCTTAAATCTGAAACGAAACACCTACCCTCTATTCAGTATTCACAATAAGCTATAGAAGCACAAATAGTTAAATGTATTCGTGATTCAGGGTCTATTATGTTTTAAAATCAGAAAATCAGCAGTCTTTGATACACAGGAAATGGACAGAGTAAAGAGATGACTGTAAAGTATTTAAGAAATATACTTCTGAGCATACAAGATAAGGATAGAGGCGAATGAAATTTAAGGTTTGTAAAGCTGTCTATATTCATTTGAAAGAGTCTGAAAGAGTTATATGGCCTCCAAAGCAACATAGATACATCGAGGTCATTAGCCTTAAGTAATTACAAATATGTCTCATAATAAGAGGACATTATTGTAGTTTAGTTTTGCCCCTTAATAACAAGAGAGAATGATTAAAACCATATTTTAAGATAATTAAGATAGAAGAAAGAGTTAGGTGTCAGCTCCTCCTGCACCAGATAATGACTGTAATTGAAATAATCTACAAATTATTCAAAGTATTCTTACATATTCTTCAATAAAGTTTGAACAATTAAGAACACAGTATACATTCATAACAAAAATAAAATAGAAGTCCAAAATCATAATGATTCACAATTACTCTTGGTGACCAATGGAAATGAGGGGAAGAAAAGTCAACTTTCAGTTCTCTAATAACACTGTCCTAAATCTTAATAATTTAGTAATTATCTATAAGATGGACTGCCTACATCATTAAACACAAAACTGTCACTTTACTAAGATTGGGTAAATATATAGCTCTTCCACAGTGGAGGAGCAGGATATTAAGGTCAGAAGTATCAAAAGTTACTGGTTGTACCCCTCCAAAGAGTACCAAAGATACCTTAAAAATATTGTACTACGAAAGAGTAGCTGATAAACAGCATCTTTTTCTAGATCTTAGGAAGGTTGGAGCAATTCAAAGGGCATCAGGAAACCATTTAAAATGACAACATGCAGCACAGCAAGAAGTATCAAACTTTTTTCAAAAAAAAAAAAAAAGAAGTATCAAACTAAAAAGAGATATTTTGATTCTAAAGATGACCAAGTCAAAAAAACCAATAATGATTTATTTCAATTTCAGAAGTTCAGCCATGTTCACTCCACCCAATTCCGACTAAACTGAAAATTATTAATTCTTTAAAGAATTTTACCTGTTCGCCTTGTTTTGTATGCAGTTACTGATTTTCACTGATTAAAATAGATGTTTACTGAATATTAGGAAAACATGTTCTTACAATCTGCACAGGATATAGTAAACTCAAAGTACAAGTCTTTCACAGCATCACCATTAGAAATAACCAGAATCCTAAATGCTATGATTTGATAATAAATCAGGCATCATTGATCCCAAAACCAATGTAAATCACTTTTCGACAGTCACTAACATATCAGGAATCTTCTAATCAATATTTTGACAGTTCTTTACTGAAGACGAAACAACAGAGTTAGAAAAACATGCCCTCTGTTTTCAAGGGAAAGTATCAGAACATATATAGTCAAGTCTGCTAGAATGAAATGAACTAAACATATTTAGTATGAATCCTAAACCCTAAACCCAGCAGATTATAAAAAATAAAATTCAAAATCATGATGACGTCACCGAAAAGGAGGAATCTTTACATGGAAAAACATATCACATCCAATCACAACTGCCTCAACTTAATTCAAAAAAGTCAGAGGCCAAATCTGTTGGCAGTTAAAAACTGATCCTGTAACTGTAAAGCCACACTTAGTGGCTTTTCTCTACATAGGTTCGGTACATTCGTTCATTTGGTGAAAGGGATATTGTCTCATTTTCTAAAAGTACACCTATCAGATAATCGGTAGAAAACTCTGTTTCTCACATCATTTGTCCAACCTGAACTTTTGATCTCTACTACAATCCTTCACAATTTTCCAACCTAAACATTTGTCTTTTACAGGACATGGCGGCATATTAAGGAATTTGTTAGATTATGTCTGGATTTTCCTCGCATGCGTAATTACCTCGCACAATCTTCGAATGCCCGTTTTCTTCATAAAAATGAAAAGGGGACATAGTCACTAACCATTCTACATATATTTCTATATACTTAATTATTGCTATTATTTTTCTATACCTCGAGTAAACCATCAATCTGTCCATAATCTCAAAAAGGTAGTAATCTACTACCTGTAGTCATTTTAAAACCTAAAAAATGAATATTATACAAAAGAAAGGATATCAAATCTGATTAAATAAAGCAAGGATCATGCAACTTTTGGGGTTTAACTATAGTCAACACCAAAAATTGTTTCCAATCCAATTTTAAAACAACTCTTCCACTAAAAGACCATGAATGTTTTAGATTAATCCCAAAAGATACCATGATCTTCAAAAAGATAAGAGTAGGTTTGCCGACATATCCTGGAGAAAGAGTATCTGAGAGACCGTACAAAAGTTGAAGCCAATTTCAGCAACCTTACGTATGTAAATACAGTAAACTGGGGCCAGGACACACAGATTTGTAGATTTTGAAGATACATAATGCAGATTGTCATGCTGCAGTACTTGCAAAAAGAAAATGCAGGCTACAAAATAACCATTTGCACTGATAGATTTATTGCAAAAATAAAATATCAGATATATTGAAATTTTGCAAAGAGTACATATATAAATAAAATTATAGATGTCATCAGCATGTTAAAAAATGCTAGGATTACAGAAGCCACTAAGAGACGTACAGAATTCTGGGAATAGTTACCAGCTTGAGTCATTATTTTTTCTGTAGTCTGGAAGGCGATATATTCTTAATCTTCCTTTTGAAAAAGAAGTAAAATGCTGAACCCACTAGGGGCCAACTCGTAACAATTGCCACATAAGCGAGCAACCATATAGATTTTCCAGAATGCCGAGTAAGCTGTTCCAAACGCCGCTTAATATGAGAAGTTGCACTATGACAAGGAGCATCACAGGTGCTGGACTTCTGTTCATGGGTTTGACTCTCTGAAGGAACGTCATTTGGCACTAATTCTCTCAGCTGCTGATCTCGGTCCTCCTTAACCATTGAAATGGTTGGTTTAATCAACTCAGAGGAATCTTCAAACCCATCAGTTCTTGTTGGTTCATTGGCCACAGCAGCAACCATCCCATCTTCTGCAACACTTATATATGGACCCTGGACTAATGCAGGTTCTGATGGAGGAATCGGGCTAGGAATTTGCACCTAAAAATAGACAAAAATATCAGTATTTGGAACTACAAAGATTGATAGACCATCTAAGAACCAAGGAAATTCACCTTCTTTTGTCTATGCATATATGGGCTTGAGTGTAAAATACCCAGGAACTCGGTGACAGCCCTCACCCACCTGCAGATATGCAGAAGCTCATTAAGACTACAAGCAATGCCTAAATGTTATCCAGTTATGCCTCATGAATGTCACCCCTCCCTGATTAGATGCAGGTTTTAACCCAATAACTTATTGAATTTTTGCGCTGTTATCTCCCCCTCTGTCAGCTTCTATGCGACACACACAAGGAAATTTTTTATTGCTTTTTCCAATTTTATTGTAAACAACAAACTAGCAGCATGCCAGCATGTACAGCCTCCTCCAAACCTATACCCCTCCCTATGTAACGGAGGCCCAAAAAAAGGAGTAAATACACTCTTATACAGGACTTACAAGTTACAACTGAAAAAAAAGAGGCAACACTAGTGGGATTTGGCTGACCAGAGTCTCACAGTCAGATAATTCTCACTTTTCTCAGAAGCTGTAATAGCCTACAAAATTATTAAATTGTATCAAAATAATTGAGCAGCAGCTAATACCAGAGGCTGGAAGCAGTTATTCCTTCAAAGAAGGCAAGATGTCCACCATGTTGTGTCGTCGCCAGAACAATGTTCTTATTTAACCTGTTACACATGTAAACCAAAAAATGTCATTACAACCCACTAGTGTCACAAATTCGTTGGCAGAATGATAGCCGACAAGACCTGCATTCATCCCATGGAATGGCTTCCTTGGTACAAACAGGATCGTCCAAGGCACTAATGCAGAGTAGCGGAACAGCTACTTTATCCACATAATTAGCACTGCTATTTCGCCTGTAGTATGTGTCGACAGTCTGAGAACGTGTTTGGATGGTTTCAGTAACTAGACAGACAAAAGGATGGGGTAATGTAAAAATAAATGTAAGCACTAGAGATAAAATCTAAAGCAAATGCTACCTCA